ATCAAGTCTTAAGTATGTGTTACTTTTTAAAGCCAACTTCTTGTTTGTTTTGGTTTTGGGTGGGTTTTTTTTTATAATTAAATGTTCTGGATTTCATATACACATCTTATTAGATTCGTTTTCCTTTTACTTTTTCACTGGAATTGTAGAGGGGCTAGGACTCAACAACAGGCTTAAGCAGCACACAGCAGGTCTTTTGAAAGGTGAATGGGCTCTTAGGCACTCTGCCTTCCCTTCATTTAAAGAAGACCTTCCTTTAAAGAAGACCTTCCTTTTATTTAGTTATTAATTCGGTTTCTGAGTCTTTAATTTACTGTTATTTTTGCATATCAGTGGCAGACATTCATCCAGCAAGAGGTAGCTGGCAATACAGTTTACTGACCCAGATATTTTCCTTTAGCACACCAGTTTTATACATATTAGAATATGTACACAGTAGAATCTGTAGCCCATTCCAACAGGGCTCTGTTGGACAGGGCTCTATCTGTCAGGACACTCTAGTCAGTGTCCTAGCTCAACAGCATCAATGTGGTGTTTCTCATTCTCTGCAGTGATTTACTCACCAACATACTTGTAAATGGCAACTAGCATGATATCAAATACATTTAAGACTCTTGAAACTAAATTAGTATATTGCAAACATAAAATTCTTACCTGTTAATTGGGAGAAATCACCAGAAGAACAGGTCTCCAGCAAGATGATAGACAGACATTTTGAGACCGAACAATATTTAACATTTCTAAGTGTAAAGTCTGCATAAGTACTTCAGGATCTGTCCCTATTTCCTCATGTCTCTGACTACAAATGTTAAAGGATGCTAGAAAAACTACAGGGGCTGTGAAGCAGAAAAGTAAATTCATGTTTAGAAACAGTTGCTGTCTCATCATAACTGTACTCATAAAATGCAGAAACAAAATCCATGCTTTCATTCTGGACAGGTCAAGAGAGCCTTTCACACAAGGCACTAGGATCTCATCCAGGTACAAACTGGATGCTTTTCTGTTTTGGTGTTCTATAAAGCTTGGTTATTTTCTCCTTTTATCCACGTTTGAATCTGTCAGAAAAAAAAAAACAAAAAACAAAGGGGCAGCATTTGGGGATGCATTTCCATCATTAATGAATCATTCAGGCATGAAACCAGCCTAACATAAAGCTTCATTGGATAAGAAATACAGGTCTGCTGGACATACACGGGGTTCCTCACAGGCTGTTGGTCTGGAACTCAAAACACAGCAGTGATATTCCTTAATTCCTGCTGCCTTGTTCCTGGGTCATGAACAGTTAGCGAAGAAGAACTATAAGCTGCAACTGCATGGTCTGGTAATGATCTGGCTTCGCCAGGTAAAGTACAAGTGGTGATGAGGCAAATGCTTCAGTAGCCAGCATGCTGCAGCTTTAAGCCTCATCTCCCCAAATTCATTCTGCAGAGCCATGTGTGCTGAAGTATTTTCATTTAGCTGTTTAAAAGCAAATGTCCCTATACTAAAATAATCTCTGACATCTAGTAGTGAAAGCAACCAACACATCTTGCAGAGATACGAGGTGAACAAGATACATGTGAAGAATGCTGCAGATCAGGACTAAGATTTTATCAACAGAGATAAAGATTATATTGGCAGTGTGACAATGTTGGCTCTTTCCCTAATTACAGTGCAGTCATATTTTAAATCCTACACTTTGTGAATGAACAAAAAACATGGGTCAAGCTTTAGGGCAATAGTGGAAAAAAGAAACAATTCATCTTCCCAAAACCATGGTAAACCATGGCAGGGCAAAGATCTGCCTGTAAGGTCCAGACTGATAAAAAGCTGTTTCATCAGGTTGGGAGGCAAAGGATGTTCAAAGGATAACTAGCTGTGAGAATTATTCATTTGTAGTCAGATTTTCTGCTGTGTTTGTGCAGTTTTGGCTGCTTATAAGCTCAGTCTCCAGCCAAACTTTTTTGGGGGGTTCGTGCTAAGTTCTATCTGATAGCCTCACACAATAACATTAACTTTGATTAAGCCTACTTGCTGAGCATCTGCCTGGACCAAAGGTCCGTTAATTCATAACAGGAGTGCACCCATTACAGAGACAAAGTAGCTATGGATAGTTACAGTTAACCTAAACCATAAGGAGAGGTTGAATATACCTGTTTACCACCTTAGAAGATTTTGTGTGCTCAAAACAGGCAAAAGTCCACAGTATCAGCTGTCTTTGAGCTGCTGAACTCTCAGCACTTTGGAATGAAGTATCATGATATTTTTCATTGGTTCTGTCTAAATTTCTAGTTCACTCTTGGGCATGATCCCCCAAAATGGTAATAGTTCTGGTATGAGTCTGAGCATTCTTTCTAGTTCCATCTTTTTTTCCCAGTTATTCATCTTCTTTATTTCATTAATTGAATTCACTAGGCCTCTTAATAATAAAGTAACAGTTACTATGGAAAGACATCCTTTTTATTCTAATGTAACTAAATTATATAGTTCTGTTTTATTTTTAACAGAGCAGCAATTTGTTCTGCTGAAGTGGGTTTTTCTGAGACCCTCCAGGGAGGAGGGATGAAAGAGAAGTTAGAAATTTAGGATTATATGTGGTCTGATGCATGCAAAGTGCTTCACTTAGTTTTCCTGTGGTGATAAGCTGTTCTGTGCTTGCAATTTATATGAGGCCCTTTAATTAAGCTGGAGTTCACTGAGCATGTGTTTATTTTGAGAGGTACTTTGTTCTTCCACTGAACTCCTGTTGTTCAGTATTTTTAGTCCCTGATGTGCAGACTGCTTCACCTTTGGCTTCACCTTCTCCTTCACAGAAGAAGGGTGTTTTGCTGTATGGTGGAGCCACCAAACGCAGTGATGCAAACTAGACATTCCCAGCATTAGCTGATCCAGTTGCCAGGCTGTCACACTTCTCTTCAGTGCTACAGAGATGCCTGTTGCTGCAAAAATCACGTAGGAAATTGCAAACCATTGTAAGGCTGTTATGAACAGACTGTTTTGTGACAATGCTGTATTCACCCACTTCTTGCAAGCACCTCCCAGAGCTGCCCATGAGAAGGGAGATGTTCCTCTTTCCTACTGAGTTGGGTAGGAAGGTTTTTCTCTTCCTTCGGCCTTTTAACCTGCCTGGCTTGCTGCTAACCTCTGTGGCACAGTTTGCCATGTGTGGCATGGGAAGCACATCATGAACACGTACAGTGGAGAGGCTGATCTCATCAGCTCACATTTTTATTGTGTTTCAGGATGGGACGTATATAGAAATGTGTATTTCTACCCACATGACCTGTGCCCTACAGGTCAGACAAGCAGACAGCCTGTACTGCAGGGAAAACTTCCTTGCCAGTTGTTGAGGAGATAAGAAAAAAACATCAGCAATCACTTCTCATTCTGAGGAAAAGGTGGTCAAACACTGGAGAGGCAGTTGATGCCCCAACCCTGTCAGTGGCATTTGGCATATTAAGAGGCATTTGGACAACACCCTTAATAACATGCTTTAGCTTTTGGTCAGCCGTGGTCAGACAGTTGGACTAGATGATTGTTTTAGGTCTCTTCCACCTGAAACTATTATATTCTATTCAAGTTGTGGTATGGGGATAGACATCAAGTGGTTTGCCAGAAACATCTGTAGAGTCAAGGGGGAGAGAGAAAATATAGCGTTAAAGTATAATTTTCAGTATTTATGCTTGTCTCGGGAACACTTCGAAGGGTGTAACTGGAAAACAGTCTACTTCAACTGGGGAGGACATCTAACATGAATGTTTTCTCACATTAATTTAGTCATCATCCAAATCAATTGGCTGATTGAGCTAAGCCAGTTTCTTGTTACTTCATCCAGTTTGCCTTTTCACTAACATCCTGTACTACTGTCACTGATGCCAAAATCTCTTAACCAACCTCTGAATCCCCTAGAGCTCTAGAGTCAAGCGAAGGTAGAATAGGTGCTACAGGAGGGCTACAATGAATTTCTTGGAATACACTCTGCAGAGCTATTTCAGCAAGCAAACTTAAGCTTGTCACCAAAGTATTGTCTTAGCCTTGACCACTTTATATACTTCCTTTCCCCATTACAGTACACTATTATTGTGTCATGATGTTTCCAGACATCAGATGCTGCTACAATTCAGTGGTTCTGTAGGCATAGGAGTCTAGGAATGTGGGGCAACAAATGCTGCTGAATATGAGTTCAAAATATGTTTGCACAGTTCCCAATTAAAGATAACACTTAAGAAAAAAAAAAAAGAGGATTGAAACAGTCCATACTGGCAAAAGGAAAAAGAAAAAATATAATAGGTACTCAGATCAAAATGCTTCATGAGTAAAGGAAAGACACTGATTAAAAGCTTCACAAGAAGCAGAGGCACAGGAGCAGCTACTGCCATGGCAACCAAAGGAGCATGGGGGTTTACACTTCTATATATCTTAGTGCAGTCTTAGCCAAGAGTGAAACTGGCTTGAAATAACAGCCTCCCTGTGTTCATTCTTTATGAATTGTGTATCTCATCTCACTGCTTCAGTGCTTATATCTTACAGTGATGGGTCACTGACTACCCATGTTTCTGCATGTGTTAGAAGCTTAATTCTTAGGTTATTTATCTGACTTTCTGCTATATAAAATCATGAGTTGGAATAGGTTGCTAATTTCAGTCAAAAGTATTTATTCAATGCCACATGCCATAAATAAGGTCCAGCACCAATTATATACCTAATTCCTTCTAGTAATGCATTGTGAATACTAAATCTAATGTTAATCTAACACAAAAACATTTCTTCCTCTCTAATTTCACCCTGTATCACTGAACACTTTTCTTCTATATGTTCAGTAATAAAATTTCTACAAATTTTATCTCATAAAAAATACTGTGTATTAAGTCTATTCAATATGATTCTCATAAAATGTATAAAGTAAGATCATCTTGTAGCCATCAGGACGTTTTGAGATCCAAATGCTGCTGCCCTAATTTAATTTCTTTTTTTAGAAAGTACCCTGGTTTCAATGATGATATTGTCTTTTAACATTTCAGATCACAGTATTTCGCATGGGATCAGAAGGACACCAGGATATTGATTTAGCTATCCTGACAGCATTACTGAAAGGTAATGGAATTTCACTCCACTGTGAGCCTGTATGAACCCAAATGGACTAACTCTGTTAATCTGTGCTGTGCTGAAACCTGTGTTTTTGACAATACCGATGAATTTATACTGTGAAATTGAAGCATGCTTTTTGCTCTAACTGCTTTATACAAATCCAGCTCTTTTTTTAATGTTTAAATAGCTATTGTTTTTCCTTCCTGAACTTTTATTCTCCACACACAACCACTAATGCAGTGCAAGAAACATCAGTGTTGAACCTCTCTTACTACTTGAAAAGATGCTCACAAGAAGACAGCCAAAGAACGTCTCACGCTTTTGACTACCTTGGTGTCTTGTAGAACATCCAGAAGGAGGTTATCTCCCTCTAGATAAAACTGGCACTATTGTCAAGTGAAATGATTCCTGTAGTCATCCTAGGGACGTCTAGGAACTTCATGGGATTTCTTCTACCCTCTGCTTAGCTGGTAAAGCTAAGAATTTACCTGCTGGAGTAGTAGGGGTTTTAATCTTAAGGTCTCTAAATCTTTCTAAGCCATTACATTACAATTTAAAAGATTGTCTGACAATAAATCTGCTGTTGCTACAGGTCAGTATAAACCTCGGTCTTGCAGACACACCATTTAGCCTGGCTTTCTTCAAAATAAGATACTGTTGGGTAATTTAATATCTGCTTCTGAATACAGAAACAGGTGTGATTTGAAAGGCTCTGAAGCATATGTACTTACCTAATGGATGATTACTTACCTAGGCAGTGGGTAGGAGGTTCTAGGCCTCCTTTTATATATTTCCCAAAATGGGGTTTTGGGAAATACAAATTGCGTGTATCAACCATGTTCATCTTGTTGCTGTCTGGACTGGTTTGTGCTATGTAGTACAGGCCATACTGCCCACACCTGAATAAGAGAGTCTGTGATGCCATAGAGCAGACCTGAATTTGAATCATAACAAAATAATTAATAGATTTACTAGGTATTCAAATGGTAATGAGAATTACTCTTGCTTGTTCCAGGGCTCAGTTTTATTTTCAGTTTCTTCCTGTGCAGGCATACAAAAGCTGTATGAAGAGAAAAGACAGAAGGCATCAATAACTTCAGCTAACCAAGCAGAATAGTGTTTTACCTTTTACACAATTACAGATCCCATTTCAAACGTTATTTCAAATATTTAAGACAATAACCTGAACAGGAGGAGTAAACGAGCACTGACCGCCTCAAAAGTATGATTGCAAGCTGCTAGCTACCAGCTAAGGAAATGAACTGGAATTATTCTGCTCTAGTAGTTTTTGTCTCCTTAGTCTTCTGTAGTTTTGCTTTCTCCACTACTTCTGCTCATTTCCATCAAGATAAAAGTTGTTTGAGCTGCAGGTAACATGTCTATTTTGCTACTATCCTGAGGTAACAAGTTTTGGCCATCTGCATAATTAAATTGCAAGACATTTTAGACATCCTCACACAGAAACAATATAAATCAACATGAAGTAAGAAACAAGAAATTTATTTAAAGCAAGGAATGAGAATTGCATCCATCACCAAATTCCTCTTTTCTATCCTCATGAAATATTTTAAGTGAAACTTTCATTTAATTTATCTTAAGTATAACTGAATCCTTTATTACCCTCACTGTAAAGTCTATTTACTTCATATTTGTTCTTAAGACAATCACTGGAACTATCGCTATTGATTTATATTAGTGAGATACAGATTGTCTGAAAGTTGTGATTCTACTTTGTCAAGGTATATTTCCAAAGTTTGAATCCCAGTATGGATCCCTGAAGACTTTTGCCACCTTGAAAGCTGCCTCTTAGAAGGCGAAAAAATTAGATCATAGGCCTAGGAAGGATTGCTTTCTGTTTGAAAAGTTCTTTTGCAGTATTTACTTGAGTAACTGTAGTATGGGTGCAGTCTGTGTATATGAGTAATCCCCTCTGATCTGAAATACACATTTTGCAAGTGCCTAACTGGTCCTGTTGTCTTCTTGGTAAAATAAAATTACCTTCCCTCTTCATAATAGTAGTGGAAGACATAGTGGCAAAATTCTGTTAGCTCAGAAAGTGCCTGGATCTGTGTAAGTAATTTTCACATGTTCTTTCATGATTGCCAGTCAATCTTGGTAGTCTACTGATGAGAAGCAGTGCTTGTGTCTTGCTCAAGAGCCAGAGGAACTACAACTTACACCTTATCTTCCCTGCTCTTCAGCACTTTCTGATTATAAATGTAGTCTGTGAAGATTAAATTTATCTGGTGCCTCTTGTTAATCTGAGCTTTGTGATCACAGGGAATGAAAGTCTATATAATTTTTTAATCAATGTGTGCAAAGTCAGGCAAGTTGTTTGTTCTTATTCATACCATGTCTTTGTACAAAGTTTCTGGCCTACCCTGAAAGAAATGCTGCATTTCCATAAGTATACCTCACCAGGGTGATGGATAGTTGGGTTTTCATCAAATCAAGAAATCTAAGGTGGCAATTCTGAACCACTTGTCTATTTGATTTACTAGTAACCAGATCTGAAGACTGGGTCTGAATTACCTTGAAATTCATAAATTTAGATTCAGAAATTAATCTCTTTCACCTCTTCAGAATTGTGTGAAAAGAGGGCAGAGAAAAGTATGGAACTGTGTGAGTGATTATTGGTCATCTTTTCTCAGTCTCACTGATGAGCATTTTGCAGTTCTTGCTAGCCGGTATTCAAGGCATGTACCAGCTAAATTACCAATCCCATCCTGGTGTGAGTGATTTGTTCAGCAAGTAGGAGGAGGACAAGTACTGGGAAACAGGAAGTATCATTTCCTGTTTGCTGTGTAAAATTTGTGATGAGCTAGTCTCTCTTTAAACCAGCCATCAGGCACACTGCCAATGCAGGAACTTTCACAGACCCCAAACCCTGCACTGAATGTGAGACATTATTTCCCTGTTTGTTTTCATGAGTCATTTGTTTAATCTTGTCAGCAGATCTATCTTTCTTAGAAGTGATTTCCAATAAACTAGGAAATGGCATCCAAACTGGTTATCAATTTATATTGAATGGCTGTCACAACAGCATATGGCTTGTGAATTCCTTTAAAAAAAAACAAAACAAAACAAAACAGTTCAAGAGACATGTAAATGTGGGAAGTTTCCAGTTGCATGAATTTATAGCAAGTAAATTTATTGATACAGATTAACTGTTTGTGCTCTCTTAACTTGAACAGTTGGAACTCAAAAATTAATTGATTTTGTCCTTTTGCAGCTGCTAACTGAGCAGAAGGCATATGACAGGGAAGTTAAAGACAGCATATGGAGATGTTCTAAAATATAATTGGTTTGGAGTGGCATCAAAAACCCTAGTTCACAAAGCTCTTACAATGTCTGGAACGCCAGACATGTTTCAGCTGGTGCTCTAAAAGCTTTCCCAGTGCAATTGCCAGCACCTGGAAAGAGTTGCTGTGTGGTATATGGTAGTATTAATACCATGCAACCCTCTGAGATGAGCTGTGTCAAGCTAATGCAGATCTGATGTCTCTGCATACTTTCCAGCCTGTGAATAAGTCATGATTCATGCCAATTGAACAGTTACCATGCAGTATCAGATGGTCTTAGAAGACATTGTGATGGTCTGCCAACCATGAAATTGCTGACACGGAAGATTTTAGAGTTAGGCCAGATATCTGGTTACTGCCCTTATAACTGTTGGTGCTACCTGCTTTGTTATTGTCAATTGATTTGCTGAATGCCAGGAGGATGCCTGTAGCAAATACAGCCTTTTCACCAAAAAGTTGCTGAAACACAAGACCTGCTGAGATGTAGAACAGAAAGTAAATTTGTGTTGCTACTTTCTATAATTACTTATTTTCTTTAAGTGATTATTCAAAGAGGACACTAGCATGCTTAGAAGCGCTGTGGAAATGAGTCTCCAACAACCTTTTTGTGTCTAGATAGATCAGTTTTGTGTCATTTCAGCTTTGAAGATTCTGAGCACTAGTTGTCACAGACTATCCCAAGAGAATCCTTTAGAGGTTTAGATTGATCACAGTAAACTTTAGCCAGTATACAAAAGCCTGTAGTCATATCTCTTCAGTAATCTGGGATCCTGCAAGGACACAACACTAATAGTCTGACATGTACCTTGGCTCACCTAGGGTACCAAGTCAAGTTTATGATCCCAGGCTTTATCATCAAGGACTATTGCATTTTTTGATAGACAGTATGACTTTTCACCAGAAGCATCTATGTAAGATATCCAAGCATTCTTTATGCCTAAGAGCATAAAGTTAACATCTGCAGAAACTAACAGCTGATTCAGATCACCTTGTTCATTTAACTTTGCACCATCCTTGCATTGTCTATCTATATTCAGAAATATCTTTACTGAAATAAAATATTGCCAGTCAGTGCACTGCATTCCAGGTTCAACTATTCTTCTACAAAGAGAGGAAGGCAAGGAAGAGTCCCACTGCAGACATTAGTCTTATAAAACATTCTTTTGAGGAACATATCTCAGGCCCAGTCAGGCATCCGAATACTGAGTAAATATTACAGAGACGGTAGTCAAAGCGCCTAAAACACTGTTTAAAGCAGTAAGTATATTACAGTAATGAAAAAAAAAAACCACAACTAAGCAGAGAATCTTTCCAAGAGACAAAATGAAACAGAAATATACAGAAGTGCTAATTTCTCATTACTGACAGTGTTAAGGGCCTAAGATGTGGGTCCCGTGTGATCCCATTATTGCAATAGGTTATTAAGTCTACCTTATTTTTTGATTTCCCAAATATTCATTGGCTTTGATTTGAATACATTACAGGGACACTCCTGTGTGAGATGATTCCTCTAAGAGGTCACTACTTGGATTCTTCTTAATGATTCAAATCCATGTTCTTTGGCATCGAATGCAAAGAAATGATTGAAAGGAGACAGTATCTTAAGAAAGCCCACCTCACATTTATTCTAGGGAGATTTTCTTGTATTAATGGAATTATTTTTACTTCTTAATACTTGATAGAATTCCATCTGAAGTATCCTGAATACTTTTTTTTTTCATTTGAGTCAAAAGTCATCAGTTCATCCTGGAATAAAATTGATTAAATGGCTTCCACAGCCCATATGCTGCTCTGCACAAACTTCTGTAGCTTTTATTTTTCTTTTCCTCTCGGGTAATGCCAGTGTAACCACATTCACCTGAAAACCACAGAGGGGAGGCCAGAAAGAGGAGAAAGATGCAAGGTTTTTGCAGCAGCAAGCCTCAGTCTGGGAGCAACCATGCCCCTATGGCTTTCTTTCCTCTCTGCTTGGTGTTTGGGGTAATAAGCATGCTCAAAGAAAACATTCTGATGAACTGTGGGGCTTGAGGGCTTTTCTGGAGATGCAGCCACCCCTGCATACCCATGCCAGTTGCTCTTTCACATGATCAGATCCACCAGAAGACCCTGTGGTCATCCAGCAGCCAGGTCCTTCCTAAAGCATGAAAAGGCACAGGAAGGCCAGGCTTCTTGTCACAGACTGGGGACAGAAGGTGTTCACCTGCCTTCTCTATTATTTGGCTTGAGTTTTATCTGAAGTGGGGGCAGTGTAAGTAGCCCAGTTCCTTCCCCAGGTCCATCTGATCTACTCTTGAGCCAAAATAGTTTCTAACCAGGCTGCATCCTTGGCTACCCAGACAGCATGCTGTGGTCAGTTTAGGAAAAGCAGGAGATGGAGCTTCCCTATCACACGTGCAAAAAGGTACCAGGCTGAGGGATCGCCATGACTGTCCCTGGGTTTTGGAGTTCATGCATGTGCCTCTTCCACTGCTCACCAGAGAGCTTGCCTAGGCACCTGCAAAAGCTCTCACTTCTGCAGGCGCATGGGTAGAAAGAGGATCCAATGACATTTTGAGAGGATCTGTTGTTTGCTTCAGAAAGGGGGAAAACTATTTGCTCTCTGTATTTAACTTACACTATTTTACCCACTGCGGGTAGTATTTTTCTGTTTTTATAAATATAACTGCAGAGACATCTTTGCCCTTCCCAAAGGTAAATATTTTCTGTTCTTGAATGTTGCATGTTGCTTGTGTAAGAAACTCAGAAAAGTTCAGATGTTGTCGGCATCCCCCATGAAGTCTCTTGTGAGAGCTTTTGTCTGTGTCTTGTTATATAGTAATGAGAAGCTGAGTCCTACATACTTCTTAGTCATAGAAAAGTCTTTTACTGTTTTTCTCTTGTTTTGTCTTCTTCATTTCTTTCTATCGTTCTGCTCCTGCATCACCTACCTTTTTATCAGAGCTCATTTCTGTCATAAAATGAAAGTGGATGATCTGCAATCCAGCATCTCCCAAATAATTACTGCAGATACTGCCAAGTATTCAGCAAAGTTTCGTGGCAGTGAACTGGCTGAAAAGTTGAGAGTTACAAAATCAGACTGTAGGATAAGTTTCCCAAAGGTCTGCTGACCATATCCTTCATAGAACATTTCAGTGGCCAGAGTTTACATTTTCTGTGCCTCCAATTTCAGAATCCACTTTCAGCTGGAGCAGTGTGTGGTTTTGAATAGTACAAAAATGGGAACAGAAGCAATGAAAAGCTCTTGTTTATCCTCACTTCATGATACCAGTACAAAAATTAATAAAGACAAGAAACCAGTGGAGATATGAGGCCTTTAAAAAATGAGCCTCTATACAATTGCCTGATCTCTGCAAGCAGCTGTGTAGTCAAAAGTCGAAGAGCCCTTTATTTATTTGGTTGATCAGTTCATTTGGGCCAGTTCTCCCTAAGACACTGAAGCACAAATACTGTTTTATTGTTACAAATCGGCTAATAACAATGAAATCCTTAGTGAAACATTACAAAAGCACAGCAGGGCATGAATGTCCCACAGAGTACATTAAAACTTCAGGGAAAAACATAACCTGCCTTCCAAAAAAGCAAACAGCTCCAAATGCACCTTATCTGCATAGTTTCTTATTTAATTTGAAAACATTATACCTTGACAACAGCTTTATAACATGCTTTCTTACGTGACTATTGCATGTGTGAAGGGAAATTTGGCCCACCAAGACCCATCATAGAGGAGAAATTCCCATGCTTGTACAGGATCCCCACCTTATCAGATGGGAATGCATAAAATGTGTATAAAATGCACAACTCTTGAAATCAGTAGGTCTGTGTGAGTTGAACCTCTTCAGAATTGCTAAATGCGGAAGTATGTGTGTGCTCATATGCACATGTGTGCATGCGCATATTCTGCCCATGGATCAGTATCCCACCTGGGTTCTGCTCTTGCTTCCCATTCAAGAGGAGAGAAACCAGTTCACTCCACTGCAAGCTACATCTTCTGATGTCATGTCTACCTACTGTATTTTTCAAGGGGCATGTGAGGAAAAAATTAACATTCATGAGACCATCTGAGAAGCATGGATTCAGATTTGATAAACAGTATTTTATTTCAGGGACAATGTAAGGCTTTGTTTTAATATTTATCAGTTGCAGAAACGACATGGACATCTGTGAGAGGAATTACCATGGTGGTCTGTTGGCTGAGTCTAAAGTATTTCTTGTTTCTTTTTTCTCCTTCTCTCCTCCCTGCACCCCTGTATGTATACACAGGAGCTAACGCGTCTGCTCCCGACCAGCTGAGCCTAGCATTAGCGTGGAACAGAGTAGACATCGCCCGCAGTCAGATCTTTATTTACGGGCAGCAGTGGCCGGTACAGTATATATACAGCATCTTCTACTGAAACACTTTAAACGCTACTCAACATTAAATCCATTCTGTTGGCAGCGGTGGTTTAACACAGTATAGAATATACTGAGTCATGCTCCCAGCCAAACACGAAGTCCCCGTTCACAGCTCTTGGAGGCAGGCAGTTCCAAAGACATTAATGTGTTTGCTTGTTCAAGGAAATAGTGACATCTAGCGATGACTTAGCACTGAGAGACCACAGCTTTAAAGAAATGGGAAGCAACACTTTTACACTATCAAATAATGATTCTGAAAGCTGAGAAAAGTGAGCGTCTGTTTACAGCCGTGTTACAGTGTGAGACTATAAACTAATGGCAAGGCAAAATTTCTTTTTGCTCTTCAAGCAATGCTTTTTACATAGAAATACTGAATTTGATGATGATCACATGTCCAAATATGCTGCACAGATGCTGGAGGTCATCAAATGGACCACAAGAGCTGATCAGCAATGTTACTGCAGGAGTGCTGTGGCTCCAAACCTGAGCTGGTGTTCATTTCATGGCCAGTGCTGCTCTGCATTGATCTGCCTGTTTCACAGCTGCCCCGTCCTATGCTCCAGCTGCCAGTTGTGGGGACAGGCTGCCTGGCCAACACTGTTCCCTAGGGGCCACATGGGCAGAGCTTCTCTGCAGCGGTAGGAGGGCTGTAAATAGAAAGTATATTGAGTGCTGTGTGGGGCAGAGGAGGAGGTCGACTCCCAACTTGTGCTGCAATTTCTACAGTGGTGGTTGTCAACCAGAAATAAAAAAAAATCCAAGCAGGACTCTACCTGTAGCTCCTTAAAGCCTACCATGCCTTCATTCAGAAGGTGTAATTGGATCATAGTATTCATTAGTGTGACATTTATTTTGCCACCATCATGAAAATTTCATAGGCTATCATTAGATGAGCATTTACAACTCCCCACAGAAAAAAAAATAACAAAAGGAAAAGCTGCTGTTTAAATATCCTTGCTTTAAATGCAGTGTTTGGAGCTCACTACCTCTTGAAGCTAGTTTAAAAAAACCTTGCCTTTTCAGTTATGGAGTGAGTTATTTATACAAAAATATACATATGGACTTTTTATCTTGTCTTCAATATTGGGCATAATTATGCATCAAAACACAGGAAGGATTTTAATGCTTCTAAACTGTCCTTATCATTATCACTCTATCACCACATTATAGGAAAAATTTGCATGAATGCTGCAAGCTGAAGTAATTTCACAAACTAAAAGCTGGAAGTATGAGATAATTTCTCATCCTTCTGACCTCCCCAACCTACAAGAGATAGAAAATGAGAGACTTGCATAAAAAGACTTCTTACATTTGGCCCTTCAAAGAAATGGTGAAGCTATTTATGCTTCCTGGGTGTCAAAGTTTCCCTGAGGTTCCACACCATGAACAGGAAAAAGCTAGAATTAAAGTGAGTGTGCACATAACAAATATGCCCCATATAAATAAAATTTTGATAAGGAAAGTGAAAAATAAGGATAATAATGAGATGATGAATAGTGTGAAGGTGTGGTCACCAATTTCCTGAGTTCTAGTTCCTTGGTCCTACTCTAGATTTCCTAGGGTATGTAAATCTTAACACTCTGACACTCATTTTTGAAATGCTGCCCTGAATCAGAGAAACAATGGAGACTAAAACTGTGATTATCCCAGTTTAAGCTAGGAAGAGCAATCCTCAGAAATTTGTCAGGATTTCCTCTTATGCCAGAGTGATGGGACCAGCTGGATACAGCCTACAATGCCCAGGAACAGCCTGAATTAATCGCTTGCTTTGCAGGTGGGCTCCCTTGAGCAAGCAATGCTGGATGCACTGGTGTTGGACAGAGTGGATTTTGTGAAATTACTCATAGAAAATGGAGTAAGCATGCATCGTTTTCTCACCATCTCCCGGCTAGAGGAATTGTACAATACGGTAGGGCCAACCTAAGGCAAATTTTCTATCTCTATATTCATTGTTGTAGCTCCCACTCATATTACAACAACAAGATGATGCATAAAGCAGCCAATATCTGTTGCAGGAATATTCCGTGTTAGAAGTCCATATTGTCTGTTAGTTTTGTCTCTCATGTAATTGAACATGCTGTGTCTTGCCCACCTAATCTGCCATATGTATTTTTTAAGACGTGGAGGAAGCCCCATGCAGTACCAGCTGATTTCTGGTCATTGTAACTCCAGTATGACAGACCTGAGATTTAGGCAGGTGGCACTGGCTGGAAAACAGTTACTGGTGACTTAGGACATTTAGGAGGTGATAGATGACTCCTGACAGTATAAGCCATTATGGTTTAAGAAAAATCTTGCAACTGTTAATCAAATTCAGCCACTAGAAAACAAATAGGCATAAAATTCTTGGGGTAAAATTATTAATTTGAAGGTGAAATGCAGTGATTTCAGGAGGTCTGTTACAGTGAAGGACTTCTCCATGTCCTCACCAAATGTTACAAAAATGATAGTTTTGACTCTTAAAAGCCTGTTTGAAAGTTTTATATCTTTGCCTTTAAAATGAACATAAAACCACCCAGGTTCAAATTGCTTCTGAGTTCTCTCAACTGCAAAACACATTCTAGCATTCACATCATTATTGCCTACCAAGAGGAACCAGTAAGTTGGAATTGCTAAGCGGTATGGAAAAATTCTGAGAGCATTATCTAGTTCTTAGTTTTGATAGTTCTGTCTGTTGGAGAGAGCTTGTAATACAGTGCATAGCCCTACTCAGAAATTTTTTTTTCTGCCAGTACTTTACAAAAGACCTGCCATCATAAGCTGTCACACTGGACTGTTATCCAGAGATAACAGAAGTCAGTTTTGGTGATGATGATGACCAGAAGTCAGTCTTTCAAAAAATATCAAATATGAAAAGAACTCATTAAATCTGTGCAAAATATAAGGGAACAGGTATCCGCTCTACCCTTGAGACAGAATTGCATCTGATCTTTGATTGGCTTAAACTTGGCCTATCAACTAGCATGTATCTATTGAGAATAGAAAGCCTACGAGCTTTCTTACTACAGAGATAAGCATTGTAGTGCCTGTACTAAAACCAGTTCTTACAGGGAATAATTTAGAAGAAAGCTTTCAGTTCCACTGCTTTTTGAACAAATTTATTGTGACCTAAGAAAGCACCATAAATTATTTATGCAAGATTTTCGAAAGATAGAGGCTATGAAATGCCTAAACTACCGACTTTGATATATGACCTAATGATTCCATAATAGCCTTAGCACCAAAACAATTACAAAGCCAATTAAAAAATACTAGGTTACAATACAAGCCTAAGTTACAATACAATGACCTAGAAGATTTAAACCAGTGAATTTGACTTCTGCTGTGGCAAATTTGTAAGAATACAATAAAGAATAGAATTAATCAAACGAGGGGATCAGTTTTATGTTAAAGAAGAGTTTCTCTAGGAAAATGTTAAACCTTAGTAATCTGTTGCCATTTCTGAAGCCAACATGCAGGAAAATAAGTGTGTTGCACTTGGCTCACCTGCTTTTGCAAAACTGTTTTGACAATATTTGAAAGCCTCAAGTGTTATTCAAGAACTATAGCTATCATGGCATAGAAGATATGGTGTACTTGCGGTTAAAAAACTACTTGAAGGATAGAAAACAGACAGTAGGAATACATGGTTTGTTCTCACCACAAAATGACATTATGACCAGGCTCATCCAGGACCCTGTCCTGGGACCACTGCCTGTTTAGAGATGATCTGAAAAATAGTAGCTGCTGAAGGGTCAGTGTTTGCAGGTGATTTAGCATCACTCAGGGTAGGCAAATCTGAAGTTGAGTATGAAGAATCACAAAAAAGTCTCATCATGCTCCGTGATTGGGTTACATAAAACTCAGTCTTGGCAAGTACAGAGCAATGTATATATGGAAACACTGACTCTGTACATGCGCAGTGGTCTCATCTATCATCGGTTACAGGCAAAGAGACCTCCCATAAAAGTGTCTAAAAATATCATCAAGTCAAAAGCACAGCAGAAAAGAAATATACGAGTTCAATTGTAGGAGTCTCCTGCAGAAAGTTTTGCATATCAAGTGGAGACAAAAGAAGACAACAAATTCACAGACTGTGCAATGCTGTTAGTGGCTTTCAGACAAGAGATCCCAGATGAAATGTCAGGCTCCAGGGCTCTCTGAGCCACCAGCAGTAGAACTGGAGATCCTGAGTGCAGGAGGGCTGACACTGAAGGAGCTGGTTTTCCTTCCGCTGTCTCCTAGAGGCTGTGCTTGTTGTGCTGGGTTTCTGCTTTGCCTAAGCTAGGAGACTAATTTGATATATAGGGCCTTAGTTTTCATTGTGGTAGTTCTTGCAGTTTCCTTACTGAAGGTTTGTGAACAAAAGAGAAATCAGGTGAAATAATGCTCTTGTGATATTTAGGTTTGTTGGGGTTTTTTTGACTGATAACACTGTATAATTGAAGTGATCTCAGCTGCCTAATTTCTAAACAACTAAGGTGAGAAAGCCTGTTTAGCATTTACATCTTGCCAGTCTTTGGACAATATGAATTTTTTTTATTCTTTATTTGTCCTTTGCAGAGACATGGACCATCCAACACTCTGTATCATCTAGTCAGGGACGTCAAAAAGGTAAGAGTCCAGTAGACGGTAGGTTGGAGATAATGTTGTGATTGCTTTTTATAGCTAGACACAATCTCTGCTTTGCATGAGCTTTCAGTGAGAGCCTTCTATTTCCCCTGCCATTACAGTATGTCCTGTTTGTATGTACCAAATACAATGTTTTGGCATACAAAGCACAATTAGCAAGTTACTTGGCTTGCTTTCTCTGTGGTTTTAGATGCTTGGGTGGTAGTGTTTCTGCTAGCATAATTGTAGGCTCTTACATACCGTGTGGATTTATGCTGTTATCTGTATTTTTCCATACCTGCAACTTTTGTCAAAGCTTACTTCTATGTTGTTAGTTTACTTCCAAGCTTGTAAATAGCCCTTATGCTGTGCTGGATCCTGTTGAAACAGTTTTTTGTTCTGTGTTTCGTAGTATATTGTAGCCATCTTCCTCAGCAGAAAAAAAACTAAAAGAAGCAGTACAGCTTTCCTCTGCACCTCTTATCAAGTTAATTTCAAGCATCTTGAATTATAAAGAGTTATTAAAAGGACAGGACAGAAACACAGAAAGGCATAGTGACAGGAAGGAAATACGAAGTACCTTTAGCAATGTGTTGGATGAAAAGTGTTACAGCAGTAGCAATGGATGAAAATCCCTTATCCTCTAAATATGCGGATCAAGTAAGGAGATTGAGTCTGCAGCTGACCTTATCAGTATGTACAGATTACAACCTTGCACATTACATATATTGGACCTCACAGGTAACATGCTTGAGAAAGGAAATTTCTGTACATGGGACTAGATAGAAGATTGAAAAAGGAATGGAGATTTTTTGTAAGAGCACAGGTTTTGGTGGTTTCTTATGTCCCTGACAGCTGAGCACAACTGAGGGCAGCTAGGGGAGGGGAGTGGCAATGTTTCATAAATCATCTTTCTCTTAAATAATGCTGCAGAATTATCAGTAGTTATGTTTAAGGAGGTTCTGGTCATTTTCTTTGGTTAGCACGTTCCATTGCATCATTGTTCAACTACATGTAGTATATTAAGTGACCACTGGAAAGTGTGGAAAGCCTACAGAAGAAAATGAAACTGTTCTTAACACATAAGTCCCCTTGGATGGAGCAGAGTAAAGCTAGAATGCATTTAGGCTGGCTACTTCTCTTCAAGCCCAAATTACCAGAATATTTTTTTCATACTAAATATGCAGTTACTTATGTGCCTTCAAGAGTTTGAAACAAGCATTATTTGCCTTCTTACTTTAAAATATATTTTTCAAAATCTTTGTCTCTCCCAGGATCACCTTTCCAAGTCCTCCTTCAAAGGTGTAGCAATGTGTATGTGGGGTAACTAAATAATATCTTTTTCTGAGTCCCTAACTAAGGTTTTTAAAGATCTTGAAAAAAAAAGGCATCAAAATAAGCAAAGATTATCAGAACTCATAGGAACATACTGATAGACATTGGCAATAAACCTGCACTATGTTCAATGACATTATTTATTCCATGGTGATTGCTAAATGTTTGATGATGGTCATTTTTCCATAAATTCATCTTTCTTTCCTCTGTTCATATGTGAAGTCTCCAGTAATTGCCACTGCATGAAGTCAATGTGCACTCTCATGGGAAAATAGTTGAGAGCTTTAAAAACAGCTGGGTGCAGCCCTCTAGTACCTTCATCAGAAAAATGCACCTCTGGGCCTGTATTTCTCATTTTGTCACTGGTTGAGAAACAACCACAGTTCAGTCAGAGAAAAGTGACAGCACCATAGCCCTGATATCTGAGCAGATTCCTTACCAGGCAGCTAAGCTGTAAATCAGTCAGCATATCTAACAACAGTTTAAAAGAAAACACCTCCTTGGAAATAACTTCTTAATGGACATCACTGTATGATAGTCAAGTGTCCCACCATGCATGAAAACCAGACCACCTGCTGATGCTAGCTTTTTGAGTTTATATCTATTTTGATGCCAGTTACCCAGCCTCTCTGGTCTAATTACAGTATCACAAAATATAAATACAAAAATGTGACGTGTCTCCTTGAGACAACACTTCATGCATATGCACACTCTGTGCTTTATATGCATACAACCCAGTTTTAAAACCTGCACTTTATAAAAGGGCATATGCTACAAAAAAATAATTATGTCTGCATCAGTGTGAATTCTCAAATAGAAAATGCATGCTTACAAATTATAGAAGCACTATTTAATTTATTACTATTGTATTACATAGTCATATAAATCACTAGGAATTTGTTTGTTTGTTTCTTGGGGAACTGCCCTGCCTGCTTAATAAAGCAAAAAAAAATTGAACCTTAGGAGTCACCACATCCTGTTTGTGGCAGCTTGTAGACTCGTATGTGTGCATGCACACAGGCGCACACAAAAAACATAGAAGACAACAATTTATTTTCTCTTTGGATATCCAAGTATTGCTGTGAAGACTGTTAGCCCGGGCAGCATATTGGGAAGGCCTGGAGACAGTCTTAAAGAATTTACGGCTTTAGACTGTAAATTTAGTTGCTTTAGAGACAGCTGTGCGCATATCTCTTTTAGATCCTCTCTGTTCCATAACTACATACGGAGACAGTTCTGCCTGCACCGTTTGCATTGTGGCCTTTTTGACATCCCCTCTCAAGGGTACAGAGCTTAACATAGACGGTTAACTTCCTTCCCTAGACGATACAAACCAATATACCCAGCCTGAGCAGGAAGAAACCCTGACCCTGTTCGACGTCCTGTCTGTAAGTGAAGGTTGCCCTCTACAGGTTGTTTTTAAAAAATCCTTCCTAGCTGAGCTGGGAGATGAAGATCAGTAGAAATTACCAGATACTTTTTCTTTAATTCAAGAATTGTATATAATCAATATATCTTAATACCACCCTGGGGTGATGCAAGTTTTCAGAGTTTAGTTTGGACTGCCACTGTCTGGCTACATTTCCAGAGAACTAACAAGCAATATAGAGAATTTTGAAAGTACTCTTTTTCCCTCAGAATGCAAAATGAGAGGCTTGATACCTGCAGAATATAAAAATGCACTTCAAGTGAAAAAATACTGTAATTGGTTAGCTGCAGCGTAAAGTTGAATTTTCTTCAGGAAAAGAACAATGCATTAGCACTGAAAAGCTTGTCCGAACATAGAAGGTTAGTGGGTAATTAATCAGAGTACCTGTCATACTCAGAAATCAAACTTTCTCTGTCATTCCATCACCTTAGCTGTACTAGTATTAGCCCATCCAAATTTTTTACTTCTTGCAGTGGTTCTGGCCTACTTGCACTGCTGCACTTCATTTACAAGCAGACTCACCGCTGCCAGGGTAATTTGAGGTGTCTGCTGATACAGCAAGTGCTTTGGCACATGCATAACTCCTCACACAAGGGTGGTCCCATTAGCTTTAGTAGACTGCTCACTTTGGAAAAGTAATTGTGTGTTAGCATGGAGCCATTCATATGCATGTGTCTATAATGTGTATTTCTGCTGTGAATTTGTGAGGGTTTTTTAGGAAAATCTTTCAATATTATAGTGGGAGGTTTAGACACAAATTTTATTTAAGTTACTGTATTGGAAATTTTTTATCTAAGTTCCTTTATTTAATTTTAGAAATCAAAACTTCATCAAGAAGCTAACACATGCTGATGCCTGTTGTTCTCTCTTAATTGTTCAAGTATTTTTTGCCACTTAATAGTATCAAAGCATTCAGTTTTAGTGTCTTGCATAAAGACAGCAGGAGTCTGTTGAAGAACTACAACACTGTTTGGAGCTACAACTCCCACTTAGCAGTGCCATCATCCTTGTTCTAGTAAAACTGTCAGTGCCTTAAGCATTATGGAGAGAGAAGAATAGGGGAAAAACAAAAAACATAACAATTTCATTTTTAGATTTACGTAATTTTTCCTTAAACAGTTCAAAAATAAAATGTCAGCATTCAAATAAACTAATATGCATTCCTGCAAATCCTATCCACCAGATCAGCCAAAAAGTAGGACAGATGCAAAAGTGTATGCTAAGGGATATTGCTGAAGGACAGTTGGCAGATCATCTTTTGCCACTAAATTAGTTTGATCTTCTGTCCCTTTGAATCCCAGCCCATTGCTAGGCATGGTACACCATAGCACTACCTCCCTCTCGCCTTCCTCAGCCTTTCAGTGTGCCCTTTGTACTGTAGTGAGCAGGGAAGAAAACAATCATTGCTCTTCCTGGCTGAAGTGCAGTAGGAAGGAAGATCTTTGCATCCACTTCATCTCTTCTGCAGAACCAGTTGCCATCTGCTCTCCATTAGTGTTTCTCTATTCTGAATCTAATAAGCACATCTGCAGAGAAGCCAGGCAGATATCTGCAAATATGCAGATATTTCCAGCAAGACATAACAGTCATAAAATTGCTCTAATAACTAACCTTCTTTTGATAACCACATAAAAAGAGCTACAGGCTAACTGTAAGCTGTGCTGTATATCATTACAGGAAATGTGATTATTTTATTACAGTGCACCGAAAAATTTTAAAGCTAACAATTACAATTTCCTAGTCCTTCTGCAATGTTGGCTATACCAGTTAATTTTTTACTAATCTCTTTTTCTAAGGCTACTGCTTGCAGTTCACAGAAGTCTTATTTACCTCACTTTCCACCTTTAATTTGTAGTCACATCTCTTGCACAACATACAGTACAGAGAAGGATCTGTAAATCTACAGGGTTCTTAATGACAACTCTAGATCTAGGTGACCTATTCACAGTTTGCCAAATCATGCCTTCTTTTCTCGTAGGGAACTGATTTTTGGACCATAATGGTCATCCAAACAATTCAGAGGCAGTGATGTAGAGAAGGAGGCAAACTTCGATTTGGGGGCATTCCCTTCCCATTATCCCTTTCCTCCTGTAAAGCAATCAGAGCTGTCCTTGTGGAGCTCCCAAGGCAGGGAACAGAAGAGCAGATGTGCCCCATGCTAGGGTTTTGTTCTTCCATCGCTGGAGATCCCCCAAGAGCACTTCACCAGCACATCCATGAGACCAGACCAGCCTGAAGTTGTTCTGGCCTGCTTGGTGTCTCAGAAGCTTACTGCTTCTGGAGAATAAAAATGCCCAGCTGTCCTGGGTTCAGCAGTAGCAGTCATGTTTTTCCTTTGTGTTAGCTGGTGCAGCGCTGTGTTTTGACTTCTAGCTTGAGAACAGTGTTGGTGAAGCCGATGTTTTCGGTTGTTGCTAAGTGATGTTTACCCTGACCAAGGACTCTGTGAGGCTCATGCTCTGCCAGGGAGGAGGGGAAGCTGTGAGGAAGCAGAGATGGGGCGCCTGACCCGGGCTAGCCGGGGAGGTATTCCATACCACAGCACGTCATGCCCGGGGTGGGGGGTAACTGGGAGTTACCCGGAAGGACAGGGGCTTCCGGGTGGAGCTCGCTTTCTTGGCCGGTGGTATCGTATTCTCTTCCCTTGTTATTTTCCCTTATCATTGTTTTAGCTGATAGTAGCGGTGGTGATTTGTTGCTGGACTGTTCCTGTCTCAACCCGTAGGAGTTGCACTCTCTCGATCCTCCTCCCCGTTCCTCCGGGAGCAGGGAAGGGGAGAGCCCCGGTGCGGGGGGGGCGGGAGACGGACACGGACCTCGATTGTTGTCAGCTCGGCACACTGGGAGTGAGTGAACAAGTTACCTGACTGGGTTTAAACCACGACACCAGCTAACTGAAAGGCAGACTCAGATTTGTATGCAGTAAGAGACAATCTATTACTGAGAGCTTTCTTCAAAGCTTTGCAAGCTGTAAATGTTAGAGGACTCACAGCCTCACTGTTGCTGTTTTCTGGCTTGACAGTAGAGAGAAGGAAGATACATGCAAGGATGTTCACAATGTGAGGGCAATAAGACATGGACATATTTATCATTCTTTCCCTTGAAAATAAAAGGTGCATGCTGAAGACATTGTGTGTGTGTATATATACATACACACACACACACACATATATGTAATATTTAACCTAACAATAAGAAAAGAAAAGAAATGGAAGAACAAGTATGTAGATGACTTTTCCAGGATCCTACTAATGACAGGACACTTCATCTCCTGGGAGACAATCTCCTTGGCGCTGCTGGAAATTAGGTAGCAAGATTACTGTGCTTAGAGTGGTTTTCAGTAAAATATGTTGGGACTTCAAGGAGGAACAATCTAGGAAAATTGCTAGGCCTGTAGTTCTTGAACAAAACCCCAAAGAATTAGCCACAGGTATTTTGTTTATTACAATTTTCATATTTACTTTCATATATACATATTATTTCCTCATACTAGATGTGGAATTTAAGCAAAAATATGTGTTTATTTGTAGAAAAAATGCTAACAGACTCTCCTTGCCTCTAGCAACAAGCAATAATAATAATTCATGCCCTGTGTAAGTTCTCTAGAGTAGATAATACAGCCCTTTCCCTCTGCCCTTCCTTCCGTGGAACATGGGAAGGAAACACTGACAGGATGGGAAGATCACACGCAGGAACTGATTCCATGTGAACAAATCGTATTGCGTGATGTCACTTCACCATGCCTTGGCAGTACAGAGAAGGCAGTCCAAAGAGGTGCCAGCAGAGACATGAGATTCCAGGAAAGAGTTCTGGGGGACAGATGGTGCACAAAAGGTGCTATCTTGCAGGACTAGAGTCGAGCAACTGTGCCTGACTTTTCAAGTGTGCTGATCCTCATGCTTTTTGTTCTGCAGTCATGTTCCTTGTTTCCCCAGCTGAAGAATATGAGTACTGTGTACTGACATTGTCTTCTGTTACTTCCAACAAGTTCTTCATCTTATTTAACCTGTGTCTTCTTTCCAAGCGAGAATATCCAGGTTTCGGTTGGATCTATTTTAAGGTGAATTAATTAACCAGCATAATAATACGTTCCTGTTTTTAATTTGTTTTATTCTAACATAATTATAAAGTATATTTAACAACAGCAATAATAAGCATTTACTCCTCCCCAACCATCCTTCTTATTTTCATTGCAGGGAAACTTACCTCCTGATTATCGGATAAGTCTGATTGATATTGGTTTGGTGATAGAGTACCTGATGGGAGGAGCGTATCGCTGCAATTACACCCGAAAGCGTTTCAGAACACTGTACCACAATTTATTTGGGCCCAAGAGGGTAAGAAGCAAGTTATTTGCCATTTGTATGACTGAACCCACTGGCAGGATTTACTGTAGGTTCTTAGTTGATTCAGGGCTGGGGGGACATATGTGTACACGCATTCAGTGTACAGATTCATTTCCATTATGTACATAGAAGCTGTTTCACCACAGCACACTGCAAAGCAGCCACTGATAGAAGAGACATTTTCTTATAAATTTAGTGAAAAAAAATTATTAGGTTCTGCTGCCCTGGTGTGATTAGGACATAAAACAATCTCCTCGGGCTCTAAACCTGTAATTATGAGTAACCGCATCTTTTGAAAGGCAAGTCTTTTGACCTTTACAAATTACACCATAAGGCAATTAAGTTAAACTTGAAAAACTTGTGTTTTGATAAATGCATTTCCTATCTCATGGCTCATCTTCTTGACTGTGACCTGAAGGTATCAGGGCAAAGAAACACGTAAATCAGAATTGGCTTTACTGGCTGGATGTGGCTCCAGCAGAGTCCCTGGGCTCCAGGGAAAAAAAAACCCTCGGGTATTTTTGTGGTTTCCATGTTTGATAAATCACAATACTGTGAATCCAAAGTAAGTTTGCTACCGTTATAAGACAGAAATATATTTATTGTCATCCATAATGCCACGGACCCAATCCAGCATGAATAAAAATCTGCTTGATGGCTCCCAGTAAGATGTGTACTTCTTTCTTTCCCTACTTTTACCTCACATTTTTATTTCCTGTCTCAGTTCAGATTTTAGAAATGCACACCTTGAGTATTGTTCTAAATGGCTATAAAGAGCAATAGCTCTGTGAAACAATTAGATCCAAACATGTGAAGTGGTTGGTTTGTTTCGCTACACATTTCTTGCTTTTGAGAGGAAAGGTAGTAATTGTAGCTGCTGGGAGAGATATCCTCCCCTTAGTCACTCCATCAAGAAAAGCATTTGAGCAACAATTTCACAGATCTCTAACCAGCATATGGAGGAGCTCCACAGCAGTCAACAAAAGTGTGCCATGGGAACGGCCAAAACAATGATGTAATCCAGAGGAATCCATTCATGCATTAGCAGTATTTCCTACCTTTTTTCCATGTTGTACCTGAACTAAAATGTGTGTCTTCTATTGTGTGTTTTGGTGAAATAGGATCAAACTCAAGGTTGAATTAAATATATATATAATTATTTGATTTATGTATGTATGTATATTACATTGCATTGTGTATGTATCACCTATATTATACATTATCTATTAAATACTCTGTATTATATGTTGTACATCACATTACGCATGCATGTATGTATGTATACACACATAGTTGTAATTTTTCATCACCTTCTGGGAGAAATAACATTTTTCTAACTTTTTTGTACAGCCAAAAGCCCTGAAACTGTTGGGAATGGAGGTAGGCGACCTGTGATAAATCTTAATGTCTTTCCCTTCTTTGACAAATGTACACTATATCAAGATAATGTTTAAATTCACTGTAATGAAGGCACCAAGAGTTGTTTTCAAGTTTTGTATGAGAAATGTGCCACACAAATTGTATTTTTCATCCAGATAACTTTTTTACGGAAGGGTCAGATTAAGAAACATTTCTTAATAAAACTCCAGTGGATAGGCAGCAGAAAAGAATGCTCTTCCGCCTCTATGGACCATTTTTCTTGTCACAAAGATTAAACAAAATGTTTCAGTCTGTCAGGCCAAGCAGAATTCCAGTCAGATAACTATATAACTGTGAAACATGTTCAGGGAAACAAAGCAGTTGTGGAGAATGATGCAGAAATCTTTACATGGGCAAATTTTCTATTAGTTTTGTTGACAGTTTTGGCTACCACCATGCTTCAAGGAAATAGCATGTTTTCTTGTTTATTTATTTTATGCAACTACTTTCATTTTGCTGTCCACAGATGCAGCCCAGAATAGGTCAGCTTATCTGATAAAAGCAATAGGCTAAAATGGGAAAAAAACTAAAGCCAGTAGAAAGAACTAAGTGATGGAGAAAGAGGGATAAAAATGCAGTACAAAGGCAGGATGGAATGATGAAAGGAGATTCCCATTCTTTTAAGAACTTTTGAGAAGATAAAGGGAGAAAACACAAGAATAAGCAGGGAGGAAGTCTTCAGGAGACCATAACATCCCCTGAATATGTACTTTCTGGAGGTGGAAAGAGGCGGATACATTACAACAGATGTTATCTTTAGGGTGCCTTCTTAGCTTATTTTAATGATCGCTTTTCCAAAATGGCTCTGGGTATTGTGTGACTGTGGTCTGTCTGCTTAGGAAGATAGAATAGTTCAGTGATAGTCCAAAGCTCTTTTTCACTTAGGTGTGAGGTTACTGACTTCTCAATTACAGTGCATGGACCAATACATTTTTTTATTGTTTTCCTGTTTTAAATATTTTGTCCAAAAAAATGAAGGGGCTGGCCTGCAGGGAGTATGTTTGACATCTCAGGTATTGACTCCTATACACTGTGTGAATTGGATCAGTTTCTTCACTGGTGAAAAAAATTTTTCCATGATTCTCACAGGATGATGTCCCTTTGCGGCGGGGGAGAAAAACAACCAAAAAAAGAGAAGAAGAAGTAGATATTGATTTGGATGACCCTGAGATCAACCATTTCCCCTTCCCATTCCATGAGCTGATGGTGTGGGCTGTACTGATGAAGCGTCAGAAGATGGCCCTCTTTTTTTGGCAGCATGGGGAAGAGGCTATGGCTAAAGCACTGGTGGCCTGTAAACTTTGCAAAGCTATGGCCCACGAAGCATCAGAAAATGACATGGTGGATGACATATCCCAAGAGCTGAACCATAATTCCAGGTGAATTTTCGTTCATGTACACTTTCCTGGGTTAAAAAAAAAGGAAGGGGGTGTGGTGTGATGTGAGGGGAGTAGGAGAGGGAGAGAGGCTGCTGACCATGCCTGCAATTTGCTTATCTGTACCTTGCTTTCATTTCTAATTTAGGAAAAACACAGTCCCTTTAGAGGAAATCTAAATAGCTTTTAAACAGCCTGTGAGACAGAGAAGCAAGATTTGCTACCAGTATAAGTTCTGAAATGAGAAGAGAGTGAAATATGTTTTGTCTATGTGTTCTTTATGAGGCTCCAAGAATCAGGTTGCAGCCTTTCTCTGTGCTTTTTCAATACTCTATTCATCCCAGGGAGAACAATTATTGAAATCCTAATTAATGTAATATTGAGCAGAAGTGTTAATTAACCAAGAGCTCATGCTTAGGTGAGCAAGCCAAGACACTAGATTCCATCGTAATCTTTCCTGATGTTAAAGGCCTGAGACACAGAATTTAGAAAAGAGTATTGGACACTCCTTTTTCCAGGAGACTTGACCACTAACTCATGGGCAAGTAGTACAGAAGCAATTCTCTAAGCTGCAGATAACCAGAGGATTTCAAGCAGGAAATGTCAGGGAGGTGGGCAGGCAGGTGGGAGCAGACAGCTGGTAGGTGTGGGTGCTCACCACTGCTAAGTCAGGGCACTTATTTATATGCCTATCATTAACACTCACATTTGAAAATGTGGGTTTCCATGTGTACAGTCAACATCACGATTTGCATGATGGAAGGTGATGCCTCCCTTGCAGAGGCTGTCAGTTGCAGAGGGATATTTTCTGCAGCAGGCTGCTTAGGCTAATGGGAATGAACGAATGTCCCCCTGTTGCAGGGACTTCGGCCAGTTGGCAGTGGAGCTGTTGGACCAGTCATACAAGCAGGATGAGCAACTGGCAATGAAACTGCTGACCTATGAGCTGAAGAACTGGAGCAACGCCACATGCCTGCAGCTCGCAGTGGCAGCCAAGCACAGGGACTTCATTGCTCACACTTGCAGCCAAATGCTGCTCACAGACATGTGGATGGGTCGTCTCCGGATGCGCAAAAATTCTGGCCTAAAGGTCAGTACTGTTTTTAAATAAAAATAACGGTCAGTGGAGTTCTCATAGATGGTAACAAGGTAATCTTCAGAGCCTCCTCTAGTGTCAATGAGAGCTATCAGAAGAATTGAGCCACGGAGTTAGTATGTCACCCTGCCTGGTGACTTGAGGAGTTAGTCAAGGATTTTAAAGATACATAAAGAAGAAGGATGTGTAAATGAATTAACTGTTAGGGAAAGGTGCTGATCTGACAACCTTCCCCAGGACAGGCCAAAGCAAGCAGTACAGATTTTGTTGCAATCCCCTGCCAGTCTTTCTAATGACTGACCTGAAGAAACTACCTTAGAGTATCTAGAGGATAATTCAAATTTCAAAGCTGTTTAAGCTTTACTTCTACAGGTAGCATAACTGCTAACAGAGTAACGTAAATTCTGAGAGATAAATTTGTGTCCAAGGGCTAGTATCTTTCACCTTCACCAAAATACTCACCAGTCAGTACCTAACCAGGGCATGCCTTTTCCTCCCAGATGACTGAGAAATATTTTCATCAAGTGGTTCTCTCTCCTGCACTAACCAAGTGTGTAAAAAGTGGTAACTGCTCAGCTGTCTTCCAGTATGAAAAGATGTTCAATAATGGTGAGAATGCTTATGAATACATGCACTGTCATTGTACTGGGTCTAATGCGATGGAAGTAGTTGAATAAGTGCCTGATAGCATCCTCATCATACTCCTGCAGAACTGTGTATAAATATTGTTCTGCTTACTGATAGAAGGCGCTCTCACATTTGGAGACGTCTTTACTGCCTATTTTTCTGACTTGACCCATGGGCCCATTGCCCTTCAGGGGGACTGCTTCCTTGTTCAGTGCTTGGCTTTGCAGATACTCAGTTTGGGTAGTTGGGGATTAGTGTAGCAATACATTTCCCACTGCATGCTTTCTTCTTTGCAGCATGCATCTTTTAAACCATAAAATGTAGACCTTTCTTTCACAAAGAATAACCAAAGGTAACAGATTCTGTTTCCTTTCAGCTTCTTGTAACATCAGGGCTTCACAAGGGTCCCTTACTCAGCTTTCAGCTTGTGTTTTCACTGAAGTTCATTAGCAGGGCCTGTTTAAAGCTAAAGCAGTCTACAAGCTATATGATCAAGAGGCAGCATGGCAAATAAATTTGCAAGCATGAGTAATGAATTATTTCCCATAGACAGTCTTCTCTTGTTGAAACTGGAAAATGGATTAATGTGATTCTTTAGAGTCTCACTGGGGATATATAGCACCAGTGGGAGAGGGAGAGGCAATTGCTAATCCAGCCTATTCTTAAAAATAGCCTCTCTGGGAAGCCAGGTCTGCCTGTAGCCACCTCACCCTTTTGTGACAAGCCAAGTTCAGGAGCAGTGCAGGCAGCTCTTCCAAGGTAGGGCACAGCATTCATATACGCTAACTGCTCCTAATTGCAGAATCTTAATTGGATGCTTAACACACATGCTGTCTGTCGATATGATGAGCATAAGCAGTCATTGTCTCTGACCTGCCAACAAGCTAACTACATGGTTTCACTGTCATTTAGGGAGAGATTTATAACAAAATAATTTTCCATGACATTACAGCAAAACCAGCGAAAGCTATTGTGCTTGTGAATACAGACAAGCCACTTCTTTTTATATTATTATCATATCTCTTCTGTTATGCTACTGTTTTAACTCCAAGCATCATTCATTGCATATATCCACTCAAGGTAACAATGGTTTCTTCACTCCCACATCATGAGAGAGGAAAGGCAGAAAAGAATGAGCTGGCATTAACGTGGGCATTACACATCTGCTAGGTTACTGAAGCAAAATCTAAGAGGACTGCATAGCTAAGCACATCAGCATATGCTATTGCTGGCTTTTCCTTATCTCCTCAGATCCACACATGCTTAAACCTTGACTATCTGTGTGAACTAAGTATATGGACACTGAGACCTTGAGACCTATTAACCCACTCTGAAGAAATTAATATTGCTTCTGTGTCATTTACACCAATATTGTCTATTATGTAAAATGCGGAAATTTTCAGGTCCAAGGTCTGAACATCCCCATGGTCCTACCTGCAACTGACCTTATGTAATATTTTGTAAATATGTTCTGGTATATAATAATATGCATCAGATGAGGAAGCAAAATAAAAGTATTCAAGAGAGGCAATTTGCCATAGCATGCACAGCAATGCTAAGAGAAGTCACAGGCTTTATTTCACTATGGACTTCTGATAACTTTACCCCAACTGATGAACTCTATTGTCATAGAAACTCACGTGCACACATATCTTCCTTTTCCTAAATGTCCTGAGGGGGTTTTTCCTTTTGATGAGAACTATCATGATTGTAATTTGTTTGCTGTGATGATTATTGTTATCATTATTATTGCTTTAGGTAATTCTAGGAATTCTACTTCCTCCTTCAATCCTCAGCTTGGAATTCAAGAACAAAGATGATATGCCTTACATGACCCAAGCCAATGAGATCCATCTCCAAGAGAAGGAGCCAGAGGAACCAGAGAAACCAGTGAAAGAAAAAGAGGAGGAGGACATGGAACTCACCGTAAGTGTCAACAATAAATCACCAGCCTCAGTGCTGTCAGTTTGATATTCCCACCTCTGTGGGTGTTGCAGGCTATCTGACAGCTAAATTTAGCAGATGATAGGATACCACTCTTCACACTCCTCTTCTGTGAGACTAAAACCAGGCAAGATGGCCTCATTGTGCCTTGATGCTGCAGCAGTGCATGGTGATGCTGAAGCATCATGCTGTGATGTAATATCCTCATACTTTGATTCAATTTGATGGCGCATTGTCTGAATTAATGAGTTTTCAGAATTGAAAGAACTCAGCTATGGTAGATGAGTGGCCTCTCTGGTAGACAAGAATACTGCTAAATCTTCCTTTGGGTGGAAATGTCCAAAGATTCGTAGAAGCTAGAGATTATTATTTTTTTTCTTTTGATTAACTTCATTGGAGGGCAAGTAAGTGTGCAAACAGGCAAGAAAAGTATGAAAACATGTTTTAAAATTCTTTATGAATTTATGTTCATTGCCTCTCATACTTACACACATGAATTTTTTAATCCACTGAAGACATTGTGAGTAGCTAGACAGATCATCCCTTAATAGCAGGTTCTGCAGCTCAACAGAATTGTGACAGAAAAGACTTGGATGTATTAGTACCATAGAGGAATAATTTGCACCACAAAAAGAATCAAATAACTAAAGTTCTGAAAACTGTACAAGTCAACTTCTAGTCTCATGATCTCAGGCTCAATTGACACTTTGTAATTTGGGCAATTATCGTATAAGCTATCATCAGACCTACCTTAGCTTAGTTTGGTTTGTGGTGTCTTTGAAAGGCTTAAAACTCAACCCCAGTTGGTTAACGTCAGGATAGAGGCATGGAACAAAAAGAGATTTTTCTGGTTAATTTTTTTTTTTTTGAAAGTAAAAAAAAACAAAAACCTAGACTGTTTCCCACAGGCAAACAGCAGGAGCTGCCCACAGGACCCCGTCTGCAGGCAGGCAGAAGGACCTGCCTACAGGACCCAATATGCAGGCAAGCCGAAGGAGCAGCCCACAAGACCCACCTACAGGACTCATTTGCAGGCAAGAACCTGGCTGTTGGGAAGGACCAGAAGCCAGAATAGCAGCAATGAGCCATTCTCCACTCATTAGCTACTAATTGCAGTTTACTATCTCTGGCTTCTGATCCAATTATGAAGTGCCTATTCAAATCAAATAAGCACTTTGCAAGCTGCCTTTTTCTTGGCAATGGGGAGAAATTTGGGAAGGAAGTAATTTCCATCTTTTTGCAATTATCCCAGCTCCTGGTTTCTTGTCTACAATGCTGTGTTTCCTATATACCTTCTGACTCCTGCTACAAGGAAGTGATGTGTGAACTGGATCTGCTTTTCCAGATGAGCTTTAGATGTTCCCTCCTTTCTCCTTTTCATGTGCTGACAGTCATTTTGCTCTTCCCTGTCATTGACTCTGCCCTTAACTCTTTCAAATTCGATGCATCATTCTAGTGAAGTTTCAGACACTTACAGCCTTTTCTGTAAAATAAGAACTGTTTCTATGGAGACCAGCAAGTTTAGAAACAATATCTTTGGTACGCTACTGCTGACCTAATATTTCTGTTTGCAATCTGCACTGGACTTTTGGACTCTACTGCTTCTTCACCAAGGTGCCCTTCAGGGGTAAGGAGAGATGATTTGTTGCTAGCAAAGAACCCTTTGCACATATTTCTGTGGTTAGATGCCATTGCCAGTTGTATTTAGTCACCTTCAGGTACCATGTCAGGGAGAGTATTCCTACCTGACATGTTTTAGATAGAAGAAAAGAATTTCAGACTGAAGTTATGCATTGTTCCAGCCCTAGTCAAATGGTCTGGCATAAATTAGGTTGGGTCTCTTCTCCACTGATAAGATGATGCCCGAAAGACTCTTTGGAAAGTTCCTCTGTGAAGTTTCCCTTTAGACACACTTAAATTTACCTTATTCATAGTTTATTAACATTAATAATTGATTGAGATATGATATCACAAATGTTTGATCAGTTGCTGAACAATGGGACAATAGATCAATCACTCAGCCTAAACACTGTTTGCAACTATCGTATACAGAATGACGTACCTATTTTTCTTCATATTTTTTTTCCTTTCAGGACAAACAAATAGTTTATTTTAAAAATTATTATTTCAGTTTTTTATTCATTTACTTCACTGGCACATGTTGGTTCAAAATATTTATAATTTTTTTTCCATGGTTTACATTTCTGAGCTTTGTTCAGCTTAAAACTTAAAATTGAACTAAAGCTCTTCTTGGTCAATGTCAGAAGTCCATTTCTGGCAAATTATGTATCATCCAAAAAATCTGCCTAACTCTGTTTCTGATCGTTCCCATAGAATACTTCTCAAGTCTCTGTATTCCTATAATATTATGCCCATATGCAATTTTTGCTTTTAACTACTGCTGAGTAAAGAGATCAGATCTAGTCAAGGTCTGTTCATTGATTTCTTATGAAGTCTTGTGTGCCCTGCACTGCTAAGCCTGCGTGATTATTGATAGGCCAAAAGAGATAGTTTCTCTGCATAAGTGCAGAGTGGATGAGGTGCAGGGCCACAGCGATTTTTGTGCTGGTTTACACCTCATTTGTGTGGAATAATGTGATCACAGAGACTGTAGCAACAGTGAAGTAAGCCTCTGTAGAGGTGCATTTTCATGCAAGTATGTGTTTGTTTTATGCTCCTCTCAAATGATCTGGTGGGTAGCTGAACATTTGGATATACTATAAAGATGTAATGTTTATTCACTGTAAACTACTTGTTACTCGCACCTGCTTTTAACTTCATAACAGATATATGACGGCTGGGCACAAATTTCTTTAACACCTAGATGCTAGGCAACAGGCTTCCCTTACAACAACTACCCACAGAAACATAGAATCATAGAATAGTTAGGGTTGGAAAGGACCTTAAGATCATCAAGTTCCAACCCCCCTGCCATGGGCAGGGACACCTCACACTAAACCATGTCACCCAAGGCTCTGTCCAACCTGGCCTTGAACACTGCCAGGGATGGAGCATTCACAACCCCCCTCAGCAACCCATTCCAGTGCCTCACTACCCTCACAGTAAAGAACTTCTTCCTTATATCCAATCTAAACTTCCCCTGTTTAAGGTTTAACCCGTTACCCCTTGTCCTATCACTACAGTCCCTAATGAAGAGTCCCTCCCCAGCATCCCTATAGGCCCCCTTCAGATACTGGAAGGCTGCTATGAGGTCTCCACGCAGCCTTCTCTTCTCCAGGCTGAACAGCCCCAACTTTCTCAGCCTGTCTTCATATGGGAGGTGCTGCAGCCCCTGATCATCCTCGTGGCCCTCCTCTGGACTTGTTCCAACAGTTCCATGTATTTTTATGTTGAGGACACCAGAACTGCACACAATACTCCAAGTGAGGTCTCACAAGAGCAGAATTGAGGGGCAGAATCACCTCCTGCAACTTGCTGGTAACGCTCCTTTTGAAGCAGCCCAGGATACGGTTGGCTTTCTGGGCTGCAAGCACACACTGAAGCCAGCTCTTGTTCAATTTCTCGTTGACCAACACCCCCAAGTCCTTCTCCGCAGGGCTGCTCTGAATCTCTTCTTTGCCCAACCTGTAGCTGTGCCTGGGATTGCTCCCACCCAGGTGTAGGACCTTGCACTTGTCATGGTTAAACTTCATGAGGTTGGCATCAGCCCACCTCACAAGTGTGTCAAGGTCCCTCTGGATGGCATTCCTTCCCTCCAGGGTATCAACCAAACCACACAGCTTGGTGTCATCGGCAAACTTGCTGAAGGCGCACTCAATCCCACTGTCCATGTCACCGACAAAGACGTTGTAACAAGACCGGTCCCAACACCGATCCCTGAGGGACACCACTCATTACTGGTCTCCAGCTGGAACATGCTTGAATACTGCTGTCACCAGTTTTCCCTCAGCACCAAGGAATTATCCACAGTTTGTCCATGGAGCTGCCAGTCATTAACCCTGAGCATTAGACATTCAGGAGTAGGTCATTAAACATATTGGCCAGAGACATTTTGTATTTGTACAGGCCTGATCATGTCCTTAACCAGTTGCTGTATTTTAGGTCAGCCAGAAAACACCACAGTCTACCTTTCTCCCAAAATAACACTGATTCTGGAAGCCATGAATAGGAGCAACATTATCCCTATTCAGTGCCTTATTACTCGGATATTGGAGTTCCCTAGTAAACAGTCTTGTTTCTGAACACAGAATAACTCATCTAAGTCCTTTAGAAGATGTTTCAGTTGTTGTTTTTCTCATTTTGTTCTAATTTTTCAGATTGAATAGGAAGTTTGCACTTGAATTTGGACTTTTCAGTAGCAGCAAAGCTAGTTTTGTGGCCTCTGGGCTCGCATTATCTCATCTATCATATGTATGTATGGCTTTTTCTCCATGACAAGGACTAACCAAATCTTACATCACTAAAAATACAGTTCTTAGGATAGGAAGGGTTGAAGACTAGTGTCCTTGAGCCCCTGGCCCATCTCACCCTCGCTGTTGGAGGATGGTGCTCACAGCATCTCACAGGCCAGCAGCAAAACACCCCTTCAGCTCATCTAGAATACAGCAGCGGCAGACAATGCCAGTGGCCACGAGGCAGAAGTGCTGGCACTCTCTCTAAAGAGAGATCTCCCTCTGTTTCTCCAGGGGTTTTGGAAACCTCCCATACTGACACCATACAACTGCCTTGGCACTCTTCATGCCATTTGCCATGCCCAGCATCCAGGACTGAGCTCTTAGTACTTTAGCCCTGCTCTTCTGAGGCTTAAAATACCACTGAGCACATGCAAAATGCAATTTTGCACAACTGTAACTCAAAGGCATTAAGCCTTTCCCACTACCAGTATTTCAAGGAAGAGAACAGTAATCCTAGAGGCAGCATGTCCTTATAAAGCTTAAGATACAATAGGGTGTGCAGAGGTGTGTGTGTGTGTGTGTGTATATATATATATATATATATATATATATATATATGTGTATATATATATACCCAACTATGTACTGTTTCCACACTAGTTCTGTGTGGATATGGGGTAAGCCTATATGTATGTCCTGGTTTCAGCTGTGTCTTATCTCAGCACATGGGGTCTACATGCTTTTGATTCTCCTCCCCATCCCACCCGGGGGAAGGAAGGACGGCATGAGCAAGTTGCTGCATTGTGCTTAGCTACTGACTGGATCTAAACCATAACATGTAGCATTTAGATTTCACTAAGAATAAAATCTGAGGATCCTGTGATCATTCTAGCAGGACTGAAATTCCTGTTATTTAATTATAAATAGTATATTATGGGATTATTAGCATATATTAATGCAAAAATGCACAACCCCTGACTGTCCTGGCTGCCTATCAGTGAGTGGTGAACAGTCCTTAATTGCATAAACCAAAATCTGGAGGAAATAAATAGATAAATAAAATAAATAGATAAATAAATAAATAAATAAAGCAAACAAATGCCAAACCAGAACCCTGATTAGAAAAATCTCCATGAAAAACTGTGCACACATCAATCCCCTGAGGCTAAAATGATGCAGTTGTACTGTACTTTACAACGTAGTTGAGCTGCTGTCAGGCTTACCTCGCATGACTCATGGTGAATCATGGACAAAATTACGTATTAGAGAAAGAGATGCCACCCACACAGAACAGTGTCTTGAGTCATTCCCACCCTACTGCTTCCCGCTCCAAGGGAAAACACATTTGTTCACATTTGGCATTGCAGCTATTCTGTTAACACAGTCATTTAGGTTATTTCTGTATGTTTCTAGTGGGGAGGCTTTTCAGTTTGTTAATACTGTGATAAAATTAACAGTCAGGACATCAGGTCAAATTAATCCCCAGCCATCTCAGAGCGATTCCCCATCTGTAGCATGGAGGAGGGGAGAGGTTAGTATTACTTGATAGATTTAATTCAAAAATAATTATAACAAGATAAAATTACAGCATCATTATCAACAAGAAAGCAATAAGCAAACAGGAAATCAGCATTCATCAGCTAAACTAGAAATCCAGGTACCAAAAGAGCATTATCCTAAAAACATCTACAACTCACCGACTCCAGTGAGATCTAAGGGGTATCTCAGAATTAGTAAATTTATTAAATTGTGAAGGATTTAAACTCTGTGAAATAATCCCTTTGACTAAAGCACGGCAGTGCTCATTTGTTAAAGCTGCCAGAATTCACTTTAACTCTGCTGCAAAATTCTTGAGCACCAGAGGACAGCAGAGTCAAAGCCTTGGGAAAAGCTATGGAAAACTGTAGCACCAGATGGCAGCTTTCCCTAAAACAGCATAAGGATGTAGAGTGCAGCAAAAAAATTAATACCTTCTTGGGCTATAATTTTCCCAAAGCATTTAGATCATATTCCACTTTTTTTTTTCCTAAAATAGACAATCCATGCTATAGATCAGGGGTTGATTTTGTAGACTTCAGGAAGTGATACCTGGGGTTCTGCTATGGTTGTGTAATCTCTGCTACTATAGTCATATCCAGTAAGTCTCATGTTCTTGCAGACTATCTGCTTACCTAGTAAGAACCTTTCTCTTCTGCTTAATGGCAGACTTCATCTTCTTTGGGTATTATGAAATTCTTGATGGAATTTAAGGGCTTTTATATGCTCGGTGACAACCATTAGGAGGTATTATATTTAATTTTTAAACATGCATTTTTATCTAAATTTTAAAAAATTAACATAGAAATCTGCAGGCATAAATAGGTAAAGGAAATACATAACTTCATCAAAGCAGGCTATGGTTTTAAGAGGATGTCAGTACAGTATACTTGTGTCCTGAATATTTATTCTGTTTTATTAAAAATGTGCAGGGCAACATCTGTGTGAAGTCAGATTCAAGAATATAAGGGACCACATGGAAAGTACTAATACCAGAGGAAAAAACTAACATCATAAGTGAAACAAGTGAGAAATATTAGGCAAAAGCTATCTAGGGCCATACACAGTCCTCATGTTACATTACCTATGCTGACTGAAAGAAAGAAAAAAAATATTATTCATCAGGTTATCATTACAAATTACTGTTTTAGAGGTCAAAAAACCTATATGAATAGCTCCACATGAGGTCTAAAAAAAAAAAAAAGAAAAGGAAAGACTGTAATTCTTACTTTGAAAGATATGAGAAGCCCATCTCCTGTTCCTGCAGGGCACTAGAACCAGCATAAGTAGCTCACCTGAAGCTGATTAGTTAAGTATGTGCTGAACATCCTGTTGAATCAGAAAGCCCAGAGATAGATAAAAGACCTCTTCATTGAAAGACAATATGCCTGGCATCTCATTGTTCTCTTTACAGGCTTAGTTTTCCACATTTTTAAGTTGCAGATGAGAACATTATCTTCAGGGGTGGTGAAAGTTTGCTTCAGTTGACATAAAAGTATGAAAGTGCCTTGATCTACCTGTAGAAAAACATTATAGAAGCATATAAGTAAAAGTATTATTGTGCAATCACTGCATACTTAGAACAGTTGCGTATCAACTCTTGCAGTTGCTTTCATGTGCAAAAGTGTTACAATATATAGATGCTGCACAAACTAAGTAGTAAGAACTTGCTCAGGGTACAGTGACCTAAAATCTACTTTTAGTCTACTATTCACAAAAAAATTGCTTTCAGGAAGAACATTTAATAGATCATGATGTACTCTAAGAAGGAACAGCTTTTAAGCATTAACTTCAGTGAGTATATAGTTTAGCCATGCGTTCCACCTCTCTGCAGCTGACCATAAAGTTAAGTAAAGAAAACATCACCATCTTTTGCCTGTTTGGTTTGCATTTATAGCTGAGGACTTCTTGAGTACATGTTTCTGGAGCTCAGCTTAACTCTCTAGTGGGTCTGATTCATGGCAGTAAGATCAAACCTAACAGAGTCAGTGCATGAGCAGTCTGGAGCTTCATTATGGAAAAAGCTACTATCATGCAAAAGGATCTTCCAGTCCAAGACAGTGTTGCAGTGAACTCTACTGGTTGGTCCTCTACATTCATGTCAAGTTCCCTGTGGTGTCATCACCCGTAACAGATCCAGTGATCAACACAGAAAGTCACTGGCTTCATTGCTTCCAATCCAGCAATTGCTAACTCATCTTTCCCCCTGTTGTTCTCTCTCAGTCTCAGCCTTACGAACTTCTCTTTGCTTAAAACCAAAATTTATCTGTTTTCTGTCTGCATCTGTTTACTGTATGGAAGTACACCACAAAAAGCTGTTGTCAGGTAAAATTTTTGCTGTCTATACAGCAAAAAGGAGCAATGTTCTCCGCATCTCATTTTCTGTTCATCAGTCAAGGATTGCACTCAGGTGCTGACAGATGATGCCAAGGCATTGCTATTTCGATTTACAAAGTATTAAAACAGAAGCTTCCCTGCAATGAAAGATAATCTGAGAACAAAGCATTTTACACCTGGCTATGGTCACCTAGTTTTGCCTAAAGATCAAGAAATCACAGAAGTTTTGAATAGTTTCATTTTAAAATTAAATTAAAAAAAAAAAAAAGTAGCTGTGTAAAAGCTTTTTTTGTTTTTCACAAAGAAAAATACAAAAATGTTCTTTCTTGTAGGCAATGCTGGGACGAGGGAATGGAGAGTCCTCAAGAAAGAAAGAGGAAGAGGAAGTTCAGAGAAGGCACAGACTGATCCCTGTTGGAAGAAAGATTTATGAGTTCTACAATGCTCCCATTGTTAAATTTTGGTTTTACACAGTAAGAAATCTTTCCTGTTGTATTACTGCTCTTTGGACAAATATGGAAAGTGGATTAAGGTCATCTTGTGTGTTTCATTGAAAGCCTGCGTCTGTATGCATTGGAGGGCTTACCTGTAAATAGTCTAATAAAAACCTTTCATGAAGACCAGCTAGCACTTGCAAACCTGCCTAATGGTTAAAATTTTAATGGCTTTGTATGTTTTTCTTCAAACACAACAATAAGGTAGTTTGCTGTTCCCAAAAAATTCCCTATAAGAGAGTTCCCAGTAGGAGAGAGCTCCCAATAGTAAATGCAGTGGAAGGCTGGGCTGAATCAGGATATCAAATTGTATAATAATTGGTGAAAACAAGAAGCAGATAGAACGTACCTGTTTTCTTGGAACATATTCTTTCTTTGTTCTGTTTTGACTAGTCTGCAGAGTGTCTTTCAGAGTGTTTGTGTAAATACCGACAAGATAACAGAGACATGAATAGCAGTTATTGTACATTTTCCTGGGACAAATTATATCAAATCAGTATAATCTCCTTGTATTATAAATAAACAGATCTTGCAGATGGAGCAGGAAAAAAAAAAAAAGTCATATATTTTTACTAAAGTAAGACAGTGGCAAAAACTTTACAGGGTATTCTCACAAATAAATTAACAACTGCTTTATTAAAGTTACTATGTGGATACAAAGTGTTTTGGCAATTAGTCTTTCACTATCAAGCTGGAAGCAAGGATTGGAAAGAATTCCATTACCATCTCTCCTACATCAGGTGCTTTCTGATATTTTCATTTGAAACTGGGATGATGAAGTAGAGATTAGTTATTAAATTGCACTAGAATTTAGAAGGATGATATCAAAAAGTAAAATGAACACTGAAAGTAATCCTTTCAGTCTCCTTGGCTGGAATATTCAATCCCAGTTCAGATCCTGCATCATGTGACAGGTATGGTTTGAAGGACACAAAAAAAGAGCAAGAAAAAATGTTTCAGGATTTCTGTAAAACTTGACTTAAGGGGAAGGATTTAGGGAAGTAAGGTTGTTTTCTCGGGAAAAAACAAGTCTGCAGAAGGCATGTAATAGTTTTCAAATAGGAGTAAGTAGCTGCAGAGAGGAACAAAATGGCATAATCTCCAAATCATTGCTAAACAGAACAAGAAGTAATGATTTAAATTGCAGCAAGGCAGTTCTAGGTAAGATGTTAGGAAACAGCTTCTAACTCCTCTGACAGGTGCTGTCATACACTGTGTAAAGAGATGGTAGAGTTTCAATTATTAGTGATTTCTAAGTCTGTCTTATAAAAACGTGTGTCCATTGTGATACACTGTAATTAATGCCATCTCAGCACCATGGAGTTGGCCAGAAGATTTCGGGTGGTCATTCACAGTTATATTTTCCAGCATTCTGCTAAATGCACAGCAAATCACAAAGAACTCATCCTTCTTGTGAGAAAAATTGGTTGCTGAGATCAAGGCAATATGTCTACAGACAGCAGGAAAAACTCACATCAACAGAGACTAAACTGTCATGGACAGCTTGTGCTAGCAAATAGCTCCAGTTTGGCAACTTGGAATAACTGCTTGCTGAACTGTGTGGCCATTGAACATGAATCAGGCTGATGAGTCCAGAAATTGCTCATCAGCAGCCTAGTCTCATTATCAATTGCAATATGTATTATACACAACCAGAAAAGTCTTCACACTGTAAACAGAAAGAAGCATCCTGGCTCTCCCTGTTAGTTCAATTCTGAAATGGGAGAAAAAGATCAATATTACATTTCCATTTAGACCTGTTCCTACAGTTTTGTGTCCTGAGGCAGGTCTCAATCAAGGTCACTTACTAAAGCTGGATCTTGGCTGCACTGAAGAGCAAATTAAGGTGGATTCTGGCTGCAGTGCCTGACCAGTTGGTTATACTGAGAAACTCCTGGAGACCAAAAGCAAAAACATTCAGATGGGGGTTAAAATTGCACAGGCTGTCGCACTTTTACGAGCACACAGGCAGAAGTACTAATCATAGGTTTCAAAAGAAATCCTACAAATTTTACATTCAAAAAAAAGCAACCATACTTATGGCTATTGTATGCCATGTAAAATAATTTGATTATTCCATATCTGCCTATCTGCTATTAGTCTATAGCTATATCCATCTTCATTCTTAAAATGCACAAGAGTGGGTTAAATGTGGGGATCTTGGAGTAAGTAACATTTTGACTCAGCAGATGAGCCAAAATAAACAGCTTTTTTTAAAGAAATTAAATTAGTCTTTCTATCTGGACATGCAGTAGTTTCAAAACATAACTACTGTGGTCTGGTTTTTGACTGTTACATTGAAAACCACTTTCAATGAGTCTTGAGTACCAGCATGGGCAGCTGTATTGAGGTTTGACCACAGTGTTGATCAGGACATCCTTCTGGAAGACAGGAGCAAACTGCAGTTCCATGGAAGGAGAAGAAAGGTGTCACTTCCTATCTGAAAGGCTTGTTCCTTGGATCCTTGGGCTAAGGTGGCACAGTTTCAGCATCATTTTATTTTTAAATCAAGATCCTTTTTTCCTTTTCTTTTTTTCCCAAGCAAATTTTTTCAGCAATTTTCAGCAAATTTGAATTGCAAACGAACAAACAAAAAAAAAAGTATCAAAAAACCTTTAGTTACATGGTGGGTCTTGTGATTTCTGACACCTTTGTAACGTTAATGACACTATTCTTTTACCATACTAACTGCAAATGCTCACCAAAGACTGCTGAGTCAGACTAAATTGGTATGATTATTTGGCATAATTAATAATCAAGGAGATTTAAGAGGAGGTATGTTAGTGGCAGAGTCACCTGGCTTTTTGCACTACTATAGTAGAAGGCGTAATTTCATCTAGGGAGGTGTGCATGCAGTTCTGCTTTCCCAGACAGAGTTTCTGCTGACTCAGCTGGCACCCTAGATGTTGACCTAAGTCAATATTGCTCTCCATTTCCTTTAGGAGTGTTAAGGGAAGACCAGACTCTAGACATGAGCATTGCAATCCACCATCATGCACAAACTGAGACCAGTGAGATCATTTCCTCCTATGTTTTATGTAGACAAGAAGCAGTGTTTCAGCTGACTGTCTTCTCTGTACTGATAGTTATGGCTAATGTAAAGAAATCTCTCAAGTGTCCTTCAAACCAGCAACTGGAAGAGAAACCAAAACGCTGTGGCTTTTACACACAGCAGAAGTGATGTTCACTAACAAATACAGCTGGACTATAAATCCTGTTCTGTGAGACACTGAGCACTGAAATAACCCTACCGAAAAGGACCTTCTGGGCCACAGGAAAGGCTTGTGCAAAAAGAGTTTGGAAAGCCAGAGTCAACCTAGAACAGGAAGAAAAACACAGAGGACTGGTGTTGGAGGAGTAAGGCTTTATAAGCAGATGAGGGAGAAATCTTCAGTTAGGTAACTTGGTTTGGTAGTTGACATAGTGGTATCAGACTTCCCAACACTGTGGGATGATCCAGGGTGACTGCATTAATAAAATTTTATTGGGGAGGCAGATGTAGCTTGAGGAGAGGACATTTGTGCATGTAGGTTGCAGAATACACACTATGTGATTTAATGTGAGCATTTTCAGGCAACTCAGAACACTGGTTGTTCTTTTGTCTGTTTGACTCTGGTTACATCAGAATTAGGAATATCAAACCATACCCAAGAATCTGGGTCAGTTATATAAATATAGTGAGTATTGATATTCATTTTGTTTCTTTACAGCTGGCATATATAGGCTACTTGATGCTTTTCAATTATATAGTGTTAGTGAAGATGGATCGCTGGCCATCTACACAGGAATGGATTGTCATCTCATACATTTTCACTCTGGGAATAGAGAAGATGAGAGAGGTAAAATCACTGCAACCAAAAAAGACAGAATGAAAAAGGAACAGCTTTGGTTTGGTTTTTTTTTTGCTTCTTTTTTTTTGCTTTTTTTCGGGGGGGGGGGGAGGGGTGTTGAATATTTGCTTTTATTATTTTTCTCAGGACAATTTTTGATGAACAGGTTTATCATAGAATTGCCTTTTTTTTTCAGAACAGCAGATGGATTATTGAAAACACAGCACTAAAAAAATCTATCTTCCTTCATTTCAAAATCAAGTGTCTCTTTCTTTTTCTCCTGTTTTCAAATTGCTGTGTGATACATAATAGCATTCACAAGTATGACCACCTTTCTGATATATCTCAAAACATAGCTATATTCCTTGAAATGTGGCCCAGAAACTGAAGTTTGCTTCAGGGAGAAGACGGAAATATGCTGTAAAATAATGGACAGAGACTTGGGGATAGCGTGAAAAACACATGTTCAGCTTCTCAACCCGAACAGAGTTCATTCAAAATTTACAGCTGTTCTGTACATCCACATGTGTCATGCAAAGGATATAAGTAAAACCAGCCATAGCTGGGAGAAGATTCAGATCCACATTGAATATTGCAGCACATTTCTAAGAGAATTTCTCCCTTCTAATCATCTTGAAAATTTTTGCTAATTATGTCAAGCAACAGCATGCATCTCCCTAAAGATGCCAACACACACATGTAGAGCAGAGACAGCATTTAAGGTGGCACTCGGTCTGTAGGCAGAGGGAAGTTGTTCTGCCATCCTCCCCTCATGGTCTCTCCCACTTGCAGATACCACTGTGCCCTTTCACTTGGCCAAATGCACATCTATTCCACAACGACACCAGAGGCCAGATTCAGCCCTGATGTGAGTGGGTGCAAATCCTGTTGACCTCAGCTAAAACAGCACATTTGTACCCCTGGGCTTAATTTGTTTCCATCTGCATTTGTATTTTCTGCAGCAAATGCTTTTGAGGGCTAGACTAAAAATGGTCTTGCAACAACCACTTAGACTTCAAAGGCCGATTTCAATCACTGTATGGTAAACTCTACCTTATAAAAAACAGAGAAGAAAAAGAGGAAAAGTCACTACTTGTGTGGCCTATAATGAGAGTACTTCACTAACCAAAAGAAAACCAGTGGCAATAGCCACACAAGGACTCTGCAGCACTGATGGAGACAAAACACCACTGGCTCAGTAGATGGGAGGCTGCTGGCAGGAATCGTATGTGCCATTTTTGTCTAATCATTCACCCCAAATTGTGCTTTCCACAAAAGTTTATCAAGAACATTTGTCGTAATGGATTTCTAAGCAGATGTGGGAGATTGTTCACAGAAGACAAGCCTAAAATTCACTCTGAAAATGAATTATAAGAAAATTATAAGAATAGCATTCATCTTTTTAAGGAACTGTATGAGTCTGCTCAAATGTTCTCAGGCTAAATTTAGAAAATTAAAACAAACAGCTTGTTAACTCACTAAAAGCTACGAATTATTCATAGATATCACTTGAGGAATAGTTTCAACAGTAATTTAGGAAAACAATCAAGTCTCTCAAATGATCTTGCAAATAGAATGGCGATAAATTATAAATAAAGATTAATTATTTTTGTGAATTATATTCTCAGCTGTGGAACTTGATTTTCAAAAATAGGTCCAAGTAGTAGCTAGTATCTCTCTGGATTAAATGCTAAATCCAGATCTTAATGGTTATTCATTATTTCTTGACAGTTTGATACACATTTTAGAATATTTTTTCTTAAAATTACAGCTTCTTCAAATGTTAATTTTCTGATGAAATATCTTTGTACATTTCTCCCTCTCTATCAAGACTCTAAGTGGGGTCAATAAATTTGAAAAACAGAAAGATATGCATACATTTCTTCTGATTTCATGGGTGTTTTCATCCTTTTAAGTAAATTGCACATAGATACAAGCTAAAAAAGATTGAAATGGAAGATTTCTCAAAAAAATCAGAGAGTGCATGAGGCATTTATACAATAGGAGTCTATCACCTTTCCTTTGGCCTGTGTAGCATATATCTGTTTACTATAGATTTCTGCAAGCTTATATTAAGACAGCTCAGCTCCTTTCCTCTCCATTCCCTCTGTCCTTCAGATATTGATGTCAGAGCCTGGGAAGCTGTTACAGAAGGTGAAAGTTTGGCTCCAGGAGTACTGGAATGTTACTGACCTCATAGCTATCCTCCTGTTCTCCGTTGGGATGGTGCTCCGTCTGCAAGATCTGCCACTGCGGAGCGATGGACGAGTGATATACTGTGTTAACATCATTTATTGGTATATACGGTTATTAGACATCTTCGGAGTAAACAAGTATTTGGGACCATATGTTATGATGATTGGGAAAATGGTAAGAGAAGTAGTATACTCTTTTTATGTTTTACCAGCATGTTCTTGACTCAGTGCATTTTGCCAATGATATCATTGCAGATTGGTCTGTATTTTTCCTACACATCAGGATTTTCATGCAAGCTAGAAGTCAGTGCCTTAATGAATCAAAACCTCATCACAGATTTCCAGAACTGAGGATTAGACTCTCTGTGTTCTGTTACATAATGTATTACTTGTCTTTCTCTGACATCTCACATCTCTTCAACAGCAAAACCACCCATTTACACCTTTGCACCTCATTTGAAGAAAATACAAAGGATGCTAATTCTCAACTAGTTGTGATGGAGGGAGGTTTGTTAAGGTTAAAAAAGTGTTCGGTACCTGGTACCTTAAGACTCTCAAAGTGTGTTTAATAGGCGTGGTATATTCAAATCTATAATGGCTGTGATTAAGACTGTGACCTTTCTATAGTCTGCTCCATGTCGGTATGTTCTTCCATCTTTCTTGTTCAGGTGTGTTCTTGTGAGATGAGGAATCCATTCGCATAGCTGCAGCCTCTGTTCTCTGGCCACATCATGTACATGTACATGACATGCCAGGAATATGAACAGTTTATGTAGTAGTACATGCATATGTACATTACATGTATGTAATAGTACATACATACAGGAAGAACCAAGAGGGATTGCTACCAGATGTATTATTTTTGACTTTTCACCTTTTTGTTTTTATGTTTCAGTCGAAATGTTGCATTAAAGCAGCATTTTACACATACGAGTTAAAGAAAATGGCTGAGCCTTCCAGATGCATGTCCATGCCGTTTGAGTTCTTGCACATGTAGCTAATACACATGCTCATGTTCTATATGCAGTTATTGTGTAATTTGTCACTGTTTCATGCATTCTGGGGTTTAAAATTTATTTAAATATATATATATTTAAAAATAAAAAAATCTTGAAGCTGGTATTCAGTAAAAAAAGTAAATTGAGTATCAACTTTCCTACATATGCTATATCATTTATATGTGGACAATACTCAACAAGTTCAAATAGGACTTGTATCCACCCTTCTTCCTCACCATAGTGGGAAAAGGGCACATATATGAATGCATGAATTGGCACCCTCCTTGATGTTACATTAGTCACAACAAGCTCAGTCACTCAGTGATTCTAAGCAGGTATAAAATTGAAATGTAAAATGTATGTCCAGTTAGGCTTCCTACCCAAGAAGTGACAGAAGAACCATTGCTTAGTGGAAAAAAAAGAAAAAAAAAAAAAAAGGAAAGATAGAGGAAAAACACAAAATAAAGTGGTTGTTGAATCATCATGTCCTGCAAACAGGATTCTGAAGTGGGCTGCCTTCCTTCAGGGAAGCCAGTAGGGTGTTGATGTGAGGGATTTTACAGTGCTCCAGAGTACAGAGGTGAAAATACTCAACAGTTCTTGCTGGCGTTTACTGTAAAAGGACAATAGGACAAAAGAAAGGACCAAATACCAAAAAGAAAACACTGCATTTTCATCTGTTTCTTTCATGCTCCACTTGGACTATGTCACTCCACTGGGGAATCTGGTTGTCACTGGGACTTACACAACACACAATGTATAAAACTCAAAAAAAAAGAACAACTGCCCTCCTCGTCTGTTGTATTTTTCACAGGTGCCTTGAACAAAAAAATCCAGAGTTGTGGTATTAGCAAAGACAGTCTGAAAAACAGTTCAGTAATAAACAGACTGGCCATGAATAACAAACTTTGAGTAGCCAGTGTTATGGACGGCTGAAAGGAGTCCAGCTTCACCAGTAGTATCAACAGTAATTTATTTTTCTCCTGGGGTCGACACAGGAAGACAGTGGTTGAAATCAGTAAAATAATATCATTTCCATTCCTTTGTCATCCTTTGTACAACAAATCAAGCCTCACTCCACCAGCCTCACCAGCCTCTGTAGGCCCAACACCCACTCAGACGGTGTTGAATTTAGCTACCAGAGTACTCTGAAGGTGTGGGTTAAAGGAGGAAAGTTCTTTTTATTTTTTGCCTTCCTGTTAGTTGGTTTTCATACTTCATCCACTCAGCAGCTCTGACACATCCACTTTCCCCACACATGCAGTGCCCAACTGGTTTGAATTACACAAATTTGCCTCTCACATCTGTTTTCTGGACCACTTACTCCCCTGTGTAATGGCCAGTCCATTTATATCATTCACAGACTTCCCTGGGAGTTGTACATGCTTGCTTGCAGGCTACAGTGGGCTCCCTTGAGGATTTTTGTTTAAATCCCATATCCATTTACTTCCTCGTGTTCTGTCTTTTTCATCTCATGGTCTTGCAAGTACCATTCAGTACTATGGAGAACATCGAGCTGGTTATACATATTACTACAAAGTGTTACGCGTGTTTCTACGGAGTAAGCCCATCTCAGCTTTTGAGTTCCTGAACAGACCATGTTTAGTGCCTGAACTTTTATGATGAGTTTCTACTCTAAGTATGTTTTAGGCTCAGGAGGAAAAAGTTGATTCTTTCCATCTTTACAATGTTAAGGAACTTTCTTGTCACCTCCCTCTACATTGTATCCAACAAAATAGCTGTAATAGGTTTTGCCTCTGGGCATCATGAACAAACATGTAAGTGAAATTAAGCAAAGGATAGGAATGGGCTTGAGTGGTTTAAAACCAATGGGATAAAGCAAAAGTAAGGTTAGGGGAAGGAAGCTGAATGCTGAAGGTTGTTATTATCTACTAGTTTCACTAACAGGGTATGTTCATTATAATGTGCTTTGCTGATCTCTGCACAGTGATAGAATTACAGGGATGAAATGAAATCACTGTAGCATGTTGAGAGTCCAAGGTGTATCAGTTCTCTTACTGTGTGGGAATCTCTACATTTTCTTAGCTTATGTGCAATTAAAAAAAGGAAACAAAAATAACTTTATAAAACTGCGCCAACAGTTTCTTTGTTTATCACTTTTTTCAAATAGGTGACTAATGAGTTCTGCAGAATGATTGAAATGGTCATTGCCTTATTAAGAAAACAATTGTAGTGTGACACTACAGGCCAAAGAGCCCGATACAATGTCCACTAGAGTCAGTAGAAATTCATCCATCTCTTCACTAAATTTCAGTCAAGCTACCAAGGTTTTAGGATACCCAGCCAAAGGGGGGAAAAGCTAATATGCAGCTTCAATAGAGCATAGCACTGAAAATTTCATTTCTTGCACCATGAGGTCAAACCTGTAATTCCTAATCAAAAACACTGGAAGGATTTAAGAAATTGTTTAAAATTGCTGCCAAATACTCATTATGTTTATTTATTTGCATGACATGTTAAAATAGGTATTATATTGCATCATATCGCTTTATGTATTTCTACCTGAAACAAGTTTTCATCAGAGAAGAAAGGAAAAATCAGTTTTATCTCCAAATTCCTTCCCTAAAAGCAGTAAGAACTAAATGTGGTTGTCCATTTCAGGATGCTGTCTGAGGTACAATGAACTGGAATCCCTTTTCCAGCAGGTTTTCTTGAAAGATTAACAGAGAAGGAGTAACAGAGGAATGTTAGTGATTTACTTGTCTTTTTTTCTTTAAGGCATTTCTTTTCCTCTCCCATGTCCCAGACTTGGGACGGTTTTGTTGTTCTTTTGGGGGGTTGGTTTTTTTTGTTTTGGTTTGGCTTGTTTTTTGCTTTAATGTGTTTTTATGGACCTCAGGACTTCTTTTTTTCCCAGATATTTTTTCACTTGTCCCCAGTTCCTTCTTTCCAGCTCCTTGAAACTCTCTTACCAGAGCATTGCCCTATAGATGTCTTTCTCCTACAGCCTCTCTCTCAGGACATGTGAATATCCTTTTCTGTATGCTGATATGCTCTTTTCTCTCTTAGATACTTTCCCACTGTTACTTTGATCTCAGGTCACTCTCCTTGTGCCTTAAAACTGAAGAACCCTCTTCTACTGGCTTGTCATGAGCAACCTTACTCCTGAGCTGCTTCAAGTTAGCAGTGGAGTTACAAGGCCACCAGTTGAAGTGCAGATTGCTTGCACACCTACCTAGCGGGGAAGGTAGAATGCAGCTGAGACAGAAAATGCAAAGACTGAAACTCATTAGAACTTTGAGGTTTAGAGGAGTTTTGGGTTGAGTTTTGGCCAGAAACAAAAGTTACATCCAAAGCTGTGAAAAAAAACTGTCATAACAAGCCTTGTAACTGAAGACCTGTAAGTCTGTAACTAAGGATTTTGAAGGGATCTTTACTGTGGGGTGATGAGGCACTGGCACAGGTTTCCCAGAGAAGTTTTGGCTGCCTCATCACTGTCAGTGTTCAGGGCCAGGTTGGATAGGGCTTTGAGCAACCTGTCTAGTGGAATGTGTCTCTGCCCATGGCAGGGGGTTTGGAACTGAATGATCTTTAAGGTCTCTTCCAACCCAAGCCATTCTAAGATTCTACAATTCTATGATCTTACCAGGGACCTAACAGGACGCTCATTATTTTTACCATCATTTGGGGTTAGAAAGCATCTCTGCTGTACCTGCTTGATGGCCATTGCTTTGCTCTCTGGGAGGTCTTTTCTAGCACAGCTCATCTTCTAATTTTCAGCCTCTATTCAGCACTTCCTAGTATTGTTGTCCTACTTTTTCCAGGAACATTTTGAATGGGTAGGCACTGTTTGCAAGCACTGGTTAAACTTGTGCATGTGCTAATGAGACATTCCAACAATGGAGAAGAATAGTTGAGTGTCTGTGTTATCTGCATTACTTTTTTCAAAAAATATGGTCTTTGTCAGACTCCCCCACCAAGCTGATTTCTAGTCCAGCCAGTATCACAGCTTTCCTTTCTCACTGTTACCACCATGGTGTCCCTTCTGTTGCAGTATCAGGCTGTTCTGGCACCCCTTATTCCTTACATTAGATGCAGCTCCCTTCCTTTGCTCCACGACAATGGCTACCCGTAAATAAAATAATCCATGTCAGCTCATGTCAACTGTTTTGATACAGTTTCCAGTAGATACCTATAAACAATACATCATCTTTTGAGCCATGACCAGGCCAGACTGCTGATTCCAGTGAACCTACATTCTTGTTCAGGCAACTGATGTGGCCAGACGGTATCTTATATTGCCAAGTCTATGCACAACATTTAAATTGCGTTTAAAAGAAACACTGGATAAAACCAAAGATACAATAATACTGCTTCACTTATTTGAAAGTGAAATTTGTTATGTGTAAAACTGAGAATGGCTTTTCAAATTTGTTTTTGAAAATTCTGTTTCTAAGATTTATAAACTTTTTTTTTTTCCCAGCATATAATAACAGAAATATGGACAAATATGTTCCTCTAATTCTTGTCCCTTCTCTCTTTCTCTCTTTCTTTCCTGTCATTACATTCAGATGATAGACATGATGTACTTTGTCATCATCATGTTGGTGGTTCTGATGAGCTTTGGTGTTGCAAGACAGGCTATTCTCTTCCCTAATGAGGAGCCCTCATGGAAGCTGGCGAAAAACATTTTTTACATGCCTTATTGGATGATCTATGGAGAAGTGTTTGCAGACCAGATAGACCGTAAGCAAGTTTATGATTCTCATACTCCAAAGTCAGGTATCCAACTTTGATCAGATGATGTCCTATTAGATCATGTGTGTGTGCTCGATAAATGGCTCAGGGTAGAGGAACTCCTTCATCACAGAGAATGGTCCCAAAAATATTTGTTCAGCTAATATTGGGATGTCAGTTTCTGAATGTGCTTCTGGTATCACTTCACAGCTATTTACCCAGAAGTCTGTAATGCTAAATTATCTTGCATATAAAGAATGTTTTAAATGGTTCCTTTTTACCAGTTGGTAATATCTTCGCAGGGATACACCATGAATTCTTTGGTATACCTAGGACGTTAAAAAATCACTTCTTTTTTTTTTTTTTCTCATCTATTTGTTTGATTTTAGACCTAAATACTTTTTACCTAACTTCGTACTGATCATCAAATCTAATAATACTGGATTAGACCTTCAGCTCCTGCACTTCATGAGTATCTAATCCAATGTGTTTTCTCTGTTGCCTACTCACTGCCACCAGCTTTATGCTAAACCATGTGATGCAATTCTTTAGGGACAGTAGACATTATTAGAATTTTGCTTTATTTATTTACTGAAAGGCGTGGCTGTGCTCACGTCAGTGCAGACAGAACAAAAGCTAGCATTTTACATACTGTCTCTGAGGATTCATTTGGCTGGTGATCAGCAGAATGCCAGTTTTCTATTTAAGTTAAACCTTCTGATGCCACCCAGTGCATTACAGCAAAGGAGAGGGGAGGTCATAAGAAATTATTTGTAGATGCACAAACTAAAAATCACAAACAATGTATCTTTAGCAATCACAGACATGCAACTGATGTTCATCATTCCCATTTAAATATGCATTAACCTTGGCAGCATTTAGAAGTATCTTTTCCAGTGGCAGATGCCATCCATTAAAGCTCCGTTTAGGATATTCCTTTTCATCCTATGCACCACCTTAGGAAAGGGCAGTGTTTTCATAATTTATCTTCTTGTTCAGTATTGACAAAGTTTGAATGAAAACGGTGCTGATTTCTCCTGAGTTGGTTACGGTAATAAATGTATCTATATGACCAATAATTTCCCCAACTTAACAGAGTTTCAGATGGAGTGACATATACATATCCATGGCAGGTATTTCAGCAGCTCCATGTTCATTTCTGTACTGCTGGTTAGCACAGAATCATTACTGTGGATACAGGTGAAACCTCTTTTTTATATTTACTTCCCCACTTTATTTTCAGAGGCAGCATGGCATGCAGGGAAGCAAACAAATACCTAAAATCACAAAGCTTCTCACTGAGTTGATCTTTTTACCTGGTTCCCTCATTTTTATCCTTTTTCCTTTTCTTTTCTTTTAACAATTCATTGCATTCCAAAGGCATGATGGCTGGGGGTGTAAAACTTCATCTTGCTTCAAAAGTATTATAGAGTGACAAGGGTTTATCCTATTAAACTATGACTTCCTTTCACAAGCTGAATTCTGTCTGTCCCTCTATAAGTGGCCATTTATTGGTATTGTGCTAAGTAACTATCATCATAGTGCAACAAACATGGTAATTGGCTGAATATAAAGGTTGTGGCTGGTTGTTTTTGTTTTTAACAATTAAGTGCTGATTATAATTTAGAAACCCAAAACCCGAGAAACTAAAGTGTCTTTGTATGAAGCGTGGGTTTTAAGCATGAAAAGAGGGTAGCAGGCTCCATGCCCTTGCATGAGGATTCAGGGATAGTCTTGGGTGTTATTCAGATGCCCAACATTGAAACCTCACAAAAAAAGTGCAGCATAATTACTTCTGAGTCTTAGGAAAAGCAAAATTCCTGATTGTTTCAACTCCAGCTATAAGTGTAGATACGCTATTGTTCTCTGTGCCAAGGAAACTAGGAGTTGCAGCAAAAGTGGTGAGGCTGAAATGAAAAGCAGCACCTAGTTCCTTCTTCCTGGGAGACAGATGATGCAGGGAATTAGAATCTGCCACTCTTGCAGCACAAAATGTTTGCAATATGTCATGTCTCTCTGAGGTTTGGTTGTCTCAAAAATATTACCTCTGGAATAAAGCGGGAGCATAAGCAAGCGGTTGGTTATCCTGTTACACGATCAGAATGACCTGATTGGCACCCAAAAGGATTTATTAGTATACTTGCATTTTTTCACAATTGGAAATATGTTTTAAAATATATTTTCAATGTTGTTCTAAGCTAAATCAGCCACTGCATTCATGTTAGAGTACTACAGTGTTTGTACTTTCTCAAATAAGATAAACATGTTCTAAAATTGTTCTGCTGCATCTAAACTGTAGTTGAATGTTACAGCTTGGAGCACTATTATTATTATTTTTATTTTTTTATTATTACTACTACTACTATTAATGTTATTATTATTACTATTATTTTAGCAAACCGAAAGGGTTTCTTTGTGGGTTTCCTTAACATGTTTAATATTGCCACATTATCTGCAAGTTTGGGATTTAGCAAAAGTGCTAATCTTGGAAGTGCATATACATTTCAGCCACGATTTTGGAGAATATCCTGCTGTTGAGAACTGTACAAAAAAAAAGTATGCACTCTAAAATGTCTAGCTTACTTTTGTTTGTTTGTTTGTTTGTTTGTTTCCTTTTCTGTTGATTTGCGGAGCATGCCATTAAGACTGACCAGTTACAATGTCTGGATTCATATCAGCTGGCAACCTGTTCATCCAGTGGGTCTACTCTTGATTTTTGTTTCAACACACTGCACTGCTAAAACACTAGCTAAATGCCTCACTCTAAAATAATGCTTTCATGTATATTTACATTTTTAACCCATAATTTCTGTATTCATTTCAGTTTTTAAATACATATGTTAACTGTAATGTGCATTAGTGTCCTGTTGACATGTGATCTCCAACTCAAAAGTGGGGACAATTAATACTCACTTCTGGGGTTATGAATACACTATTCAGTGGTGTCATTTATTATCAGTGATGTACATAAAGACTACATTCCTACAAATTCCTGACTATCAACCAATTGTTGATAGGGAAGGAAGGGGAAAGCAGGCAAAACTTTTAGAACTATGTTCAAATTTTCAGAAAAATTCAACAAAAAGAGCAAAAACAGTCTCAAAGTTGTTCCTCTCAGACTAGGTAGTTCATCACAGGTGGAGCCCCCACTTTCTGAAAATCTTGTCATAAAAAGCAGGGGGGTTGTAAAAAAGGATTCAGAACTAGAATGGTCAGCTGAAGTAATTCTTGGATGAAGAATTGGCTGAAGCAATTCTGAGAAGTAGGAACCTCTGAGTATGCACTTTTCAGTGCCTAAAACAGTGCTGGGGGAGAACCACAGTAACACATGGAACAGCAGCTGCTACTCACAATGGAGACATACTAGGTTCCTGGTACTCTTTCAGTCCCAGCTACCCATGGAGCCCATAGCTCAGCACCGTAGCGGCTTGGAGAATGGGAAATTAGAAAAGACAGACTTTACTATCATAGTGCAACCATAATGGCTTCCTCTAGATCTTTGAGCAGGAAGTGAGCAGTATGTGGTCTATAGACAAAGGAGGCACAACAAAGGTTTATTAGGCCATATTGTTCTTCCAGCTATATCCAGCTATTCAGCTAATTCTTTGTAGCTGATCTGACAGTGGCAGAATATTACATGTACCATGTTGGATCCTCAGGAAGTTTTAGTAATCACCTGAAACAGCCTTTGGAAACATGTAAAGATCAGGGATTAGTTAAGCTACTTCATAGAGAAGTGCAACCAGTCAAAATACCAGTCCATGTGAAACATCATTAATGACTAAAGCCACACTGGACTATTGAGTTTTGAACTGGGCCTTGAAAATCTTTGTTAGGGATTCGTGGGATTCAAATAAAGGCTCAGACTGGAGAATTAAAAGGAGGCAGTAAGCTAATCAAATTTATGAATTATTTAAAGGTTGGGAAATGAAACATTAAGTATATTTCAGGAAAGGAATAATAATAAGAGCTTGATAAATTGAAAAAAATTAGACTGGCATCAATTATGTAGTTGAATGAAGATATATTATTATCCACTGTTAGCTGGGAGAGGAAGGGCGATCCAGGTCAGGGAACTGGTGATGGTATATGCAGCTGTCTCACTTTTAGGTTCCCTTTGCTAATGCATCTGAGCCTTGTGCTGCCCAATGGGGTCCATGGAACAACAGCCAGCCACTTAGCTGCTTTGGTGAACACCTGTCTGGAAGGAAATCCACAAAAGCTATAAAATGTCTCCCTCAGTTCCCTCCACTTTCTCTGGCACTATTGCTGGCAATTTTAGCAAAAATAAAAATAATTACAACATGGTTGTCATAGGCAGAGAATTTTGTTTTCATCTTACCAAGTTATCTGTGCCTTCAGAATACTATGGATGCAGAAGTATATAAGAAATACTAAAGAGGAAAGGATTATTCAGGGGGTGAGTTTCCTTGGTAAAAAATGCAGATAGATACCACTCAGAAATGGCAATCACCTCTAGGAAATCAGCAGCAGACCTCACATTTTCCTATATTAAGAAGGCAAAGCAACTGAGAGTACTATTAGCCAAACATGGGTTTGGGTTTTTTGGTTTGGGCCGCTTTTCAGATTTGCCTAATGTCTTACATGTTAGGTTTGCATCTGGATTTTTCTTTCCAGCTGTAGTATTTCAAATGCCATCTGGAATCTGAAGATCAGTTTGAGTTGTGTTTGTTGCCTGGGCCTACACCCTTATTGGAAAAACCTACATAGCGTAAGAGAAAAGATGGGGTCTCCTTCTCTTCCATTTGTATTGGAGGAATGCCGAGTAACCAGAATGCAGTTGATTCGGAAGTTAAGAGACGATTATACACAGACTTTAAATATCCAATAAACTCAAGATGCAAATATAACTACTACAAAGGACTTTTTAAAAAGTCTTTGAATTTCTTTGTCTGATAGATTTGTTTATTTATTAAAGTTATTGAAGGTTTCTTCATATAAATGAAAATTTTAATTTAAATTCTGTATGATTTTAGAGGTCTGATGCTTTTCATGTCTCCACTGGAACTTCCTATAAGGGATGTCATTTCTATGTGGTCTTGTACCCATTTTCTTTTCAATCTGTATGCAGGTCTGCAGCACAGACAGCATTCTTAGCATTTTTATACAAAGGCAGTGGATAAAATTTGTGTCCAGCCTACATACAATTTTGAAAGTCTCTCTGGCCTGAGTTGCAGTAATATTTCCCTTCCTAGCACTCCTGTGAGATTATGTTTTGGGTTCCACTTGGTTAGATGTTTTTTATGTGGGGGCAAGAAGGTGAGAGAAAGCACTAGAGAGAACAAGAGAAATATAGGCATTTACTATAAATTGTGATTAAAATACCAGCAGATTGGAGAGTTGCTTCAAAGTCATTTTTAATGTTGCTGAGGGGAAGAGGCAGCATGTCAAGTCATGATGATGTAGTGAAAGCAACTTTTTTGAAGTAACGAGGCACTGTTCAATTCCCAGGATGCTTCTGGTGATGAACAGAGCAATGGTGTGATATTCAGTTTTCAGAGTTCGGTATTTTCTCTGTCAGTGAAGAAGTGGACAGCCCCAGGCGGCTTGCTTAGCCTTCTTTCAATACTTACCAGCCTGGCAAGCTGGTAAAGTTGCTTAAACATTTCATTAAAAAAAATCATAAAATGCTTTCACATGCTCTGATTTCAGTGCAGATCAAAACTGGAAGGTGCCTATAGACTTACAGACAGGGTGAGGAAGGTGCATTTAAAATGTCCAGATTTGAAAAAAAAAAAATAAAAGGTGTGTTGGTTTGTTAGTTACTATACACACAAATTGGTTTCCTTACTCTTTAGAACTGTGATTATGTGAACGCATTCTGCAGTTTTGTGTCATCTCGTACAAATCATCTTGTATTGTAAAAGTGGTATCATAGAATAATAGAATGGTTAGGGTTAGGGTTGGAAAGGACCTTAAGATCACCTAGTTTGAACTATCCATTTTTATGCGAGGTGCTTCATCAAAGTCAGAAAGCTATTTGGAAACAAAGCTGTTCAATTATGCGCTTTCCTCTCTCCATTACTTCCCACAACTACTTTGGAAAGGTGAAGCTGGGGGAAGAGTCATGACGCAGAATTTGCAAACATCGTTTCCCAAACCCTCCACCCAATAAACAGTAAAAATGAACAGTGTTCATGTCATGGCAGTAATTAGAGCAGGGAGACAAATTCTTCTTGAGCTCTGCTGCCACTTTAGGCTTGAAACACACAGAGGCCTGGGTTATTGATGTATGCTATTTGCTGGCCAGGAAAGAGGAAGGGTTAGGTATGTAGCAAGAAAGGCCCATACAGGAAACTGTAAATGGGAGCCAGAAAAGAAAGCATAGGAGGAGACTGTGAAAAAGGAAACGAGAGATGCAGAAAGTATGTACATCCACAGATGTCAGGATGCAATATTTGAAAGCTGAGTTAAGTTAATGCATGTAATTGAAATTTAAACTACAGCCATTTGTTTTTTTCTAAAGCCTGAGGTCAGGACATAAAGTGCAACATTTATCCAATGTCCTGTAGGTATCAGGCTGAATGGGTTTTTCAGTTACCTGAAATAGACGTATAGTTGCATGGACAGAATTTGCTTCAGCAAAACATTTCACTGTAATTAACTGCTCTATGTGTTTTGTTAAAGCAAGGCTGTAATGTAGAAAGATGAGTATGTTTTTGCACATGTTGAAATTGTTCTTTGAAAACCTTTGAAAAAGTTTGTTATTAGAGTGTGTTACTGCACGTACTACAAAAACTACTTAATTTCTCCACACATAATTAAAATGGTCAAACCGTGTTAGACATGAAGGGCAGGTGCAGTTCCCTCGGGGATGAGACACAGTACACAGCAAGCAGAAACTTTGGCCTTATGGAAAGTGCATCATTTCCACGGAGGGAGCCCTGGCTCACTGACTCTAATCAAATGGGGACCTGATATGGCAGAGTCCTACTTGGGAGTGAAGCTCAAGTGAAAGTACTGTAGGGGTGAATAATACAACTTACACTGATTATCAGATCATATTTATGCACTGTCCTGTTTTGCTCATTAGCAAACAGCAAGTGCTGTTGTCCAGATTCTGAGATCCATAGCTGGCCATCACGTTGGCACCCAGACAGGGAGAAAGCAAACTACCCCATCGTACCAAAGCAAGGAAATAAGATGTGCCTGTGAGTCTACATACTTGGATTGGGAGGCTAATTTTTTTTGTTATAGGAAGTCTAATTTGGCCATCAATGGCAGAATAAAACAACAGGGGTGCATTAATGGTATTCTAAATGCTCTGTTGTAGGCAAATAAAGCTGGAGAAATAATTTTTATCTTTGTAGGTATCAAGGCTGATTTTACTTTTCAGATCAAATTGTTTTTTCTCAATATAAAAAAGTTGGATAACATAATTGTAACCAGACTTTGAGCTGAGTTTTTTATCTCATTGATCTAAGGTTTAAAATATGTTCTTCACTGATTTCTTCTTTTTTGCATCTCACCATTATTTATTCTGTTCTTCAGCACACAAAAGGGCAACAGGTTTCATCGACTGATACATCATTTTTCTGTTACTGGTGAAATCATGATGGGTTTTGGTACTGTGTTGTTTTGGACTTTGTAGCTCTGAATCAACATGTGAGCATGTTAGTGAGAAGTAAGTAAGAAGGACTGATGATACCACAGGTCCAGACATAACAGAGCTGCCTGTAAAAGTTGAGTTGTGAACCAACTTCAGAAGGACCTTTCTGAGAAAGAGTAGTAGTTGGCATTGGAAATCATGGATTTGTTGACGTAAGACGGAATTTTACAAAACACAGGGCATTGGCAAATTTTGTTGTCTGTGAAATCAGTGTGAAACTCTCACTGATACCAGCAGGAACCGAGCCAGTACTGAGCACTTTGAAAATCCCTCAGTTAAAACTTCTTTTTGATGGAGAAGAGGGGAAGCTAGCTGTAGTGCTGTGCAAAATTTATTAAGATGGTTTGCATATGTAAGCTGCTGCTTCAATTCTTTGCTTGAAAAGCTGATTACAGAGGTGTTTAGGATGAGTAGGACTGAGGCTAGAAAAACATAAACTAAACCCACACTTGCATATGAACGTCACCCACCACAGCACATGAAGGCATGTAAAAAATAATCAAAGCAACAATTTAGCAATGGTTTTTCTCCCCTTGCTTCACTTCTGCAATATTAATACTAAGAACATTTTGGTTCCAAAGCATTTGGGGAAGAAACAGGTGGCAACTCTGCTGCCTACATGTCCCTTTACCTGTTACAGTAAAGACTTGATAATCTCCCCCACTGTTTCTAGGCACGCAGTCAAAAGTCCTTAATAGCAGAGGGTCATTATGAGTATGTCTCAGAAGGGCTGAGGGCAGTGCACACAGTAATAAATGTCTCCTTTTAAATTTACTTTCATGTCCTTCTTTTTCCTTATGCTGTTTGTCACATTATCACATCCTTATGCTATTTATCACATTTTTATATCAATCAAAAAAAGAACTTTCACCAATAAAAGAAAAAATACATAAGGTTTCTCCAGGATTAAACATTTTGACTGTTTTGTTTGCACAGTCACTAATTACTACCAGAATACCATGATATTTTAGCTGTATGCAACCAGACAGCTTAGTCACACCAGGCATGTCTCCTGCAATTTCTGAGGGGAATATCTTGATATTTATGTCAAATAGGACACAATAACAAGAACTGTAGCTTGTAAAATCTGTGATACCAGGTGCAGACTTCTTGGAGGGGAGCATCAATGTAATTATTATTTGGAAGATAATTGCTTTGGCTGGCAAATCTTTACCTATATCTAAATATTTCTGTAAAATGCACGGAAAAAATAAGATTCATTCCCATTTTGCATCTCGTTCCCAGCTCCTTGTGGTCAAAATGAAACCAGAGAAGATGGCAAAATAATTCAGCTACCTCCCTGCAAGACAGGAGCATGGATTGTTCCTGCCATCATGGCCTGTTACCTCTTGGTTGCAAACATCCTTTTGGTGAACCTGCTTATTGCTGTTTTCAAGTGAGTGATATACTGCAAATACAGACTGGGGGGGATGCACATTACCCAAAGCCTAAGAAGGCTGCTAAACTAAAAACTTTGGCTAAGACCCGTTTTCAGAGGATGTGAAGGTGAGAGGGACAGAGGGAGTAGCTTGTCTCCAGGTATAGAGGGAAATGCCAAGTTCTTCACATTGTCTCATTTCCAACAACAAAGACTCCATGGGAATCATGGCAGAGAAGCCAGACTACTCAAAGTTCAATCGTAGCATCTTTCACTCCTAATAGGGAAAACAAGAATGAAAATACTTTCCTTTCTTATTGGGTTGTTGTAAGACTCCGTGATTATGCAGAGCAGATGTACAGTGATACTTCAGAATGACTGATTGCCCCTGTGTTTTCCTGAAGCACAAACTTTCTTTTGTTCCTCTTTTTGCAAGGCAACATTTATCACCAATAGTGAAATACATCTAGAGAAGGTGCTGTCATATCAGCTTTGGCGAAGTACCCAAAACCATTTCAATCTTTGTTGTTTTCCTCCTCTTGTCTTCTAGCAATACATTTTTTGAAGTCAAGTCCATATCCAATCAAGTATGGAAGTTTCAAAGGTATCAGCTAATCATGACATTTCACGAAAGACCTGTTCTCCCACCGCCTCTGATCATTTTCAGCCATATGACTATGATATTCCAACACCTCTGCTGCAGATGGCGGAAGCATGAAAGTGACCCGGATGAGAAAGACTATGGATTAAGTAAGCCTCAGACAATTTACAGAGAGGCACTTTCCAGTGCCCTTGGTAATATCTAGTATTTGACATGAATAAAGGCTAAGTCCAGCACGCTGATAACCTTTCCAGCAGAAAACTACTTTTAACTGCAAAAATCTTACCTGAATCAGTTTTACCTGCATTCCCCAACCCTTAGTTCTCCTCAAGTATTAATGAGGCTACATTTTTCTGGGATTTTTTTGGGATTGCTCCCCCCTTTATTCCTTCAAAGGAATATGGCTTGTTTTGCTGTTGCTAGAAGTCTGTTATTGCTGGAAATCTTCTAAGAGTCCATTGCACTTCCAGACCTCAGTTTTACTTCAGAAAACATGAAGAATGCATTCTACTTTTTCAGCAAACAGCACATACTTCTGCCCAAAACACTTTTTGCCTGTATAATCTGAGAGATGGAGAGAAGTAACTACTTTGTAGACACATGTTCTTTTCTTGACACTGACTCAAACTGGAGGAGTAGTTTTTCCAATCGCTTTTAATATGAGCCTCCTTAGACATGATGAAAACCCTGACAGATTATTTTGATAACACTTTTTCTCCTTTTCTCTTATCCAGTTTGTCAAAGTAGAAGATCTCCACCTCCGCCAATGCACATGCCAGAGGCAGAGAGCTTAGGGATACGCATCTCTTCCCAATATTAGCCATGCCACAGCCCACTTTTTTGTGAGGAGAGAGCTGGAGGCATGTGATAGCACTGGAGATGCAAGCGCAATTAGCTGTATCTATCTGCTTCTAACCAGCAGATAATTAAATTGCCAGATAAATTTGAACCCTGCTTTTGAAAGTTTATTCCATGAATTCCACAATAAGAGGAATATAGTTAATTTCATGTGTTAATCTTTGCCAAATTCACATTTTCCCACTGTTTCCACAGAACTTTTCATAACTGAGGATGAACTGAAAAAAGTCCATGATTTTGAAGAGCAGTGCATAGAAGAATATTTTAGAGAAAAGGATGACAGATTCAATTCCTCCAATGATGAAAGAATCCGTGTCACTTCAGAAAGGTGCACTTTTCTGTTTTTTCCCTATAAGTTGATCTGGAAATGTGTTTCTGTTGTCATTCTCACCTTTCCTATCTTCTTCTTGAAAGGGAAATATATGAGGTATTTTTAATATCTTAACTAAGAAGTAGAATGATAAAAGGTGGTGAATTTCTTTTCTCTTTTTTTTTTTTTTGTGCTAAAGCAAATATTCCAATGTTCCTCAAAGTTTTGAAAACATGAATCTTTCCAATTGTATTAGAACACAACTGACATACATAGTGAGAAACACAAATTATCCTTACATTTCAGTTCTTAAAGCACAACCTTAGGGCACAAGTGGTCAGAACACAGTGGGAGGGTAAATGAGAGTTCCTAAATTAAAACTATGGCTTTAGCACTGACCTACTAGCCATTCAGTCTTGTTTCAGGATAGCTTTGCTAAATAAGTTTGTTTCTTTGAAAGCAATAGGGATTCTGCCATTAATTTAGAAGGTAATAGATACTTCACCTACAGCAATGAAATGAACAGAGGACAAGGGTAATATGCTAATTTAGTGGAAGTTGCTAGTCTTCAAATTGATCAGTCCTAGAAATTCATAAATCTGTTAATCTGCTGTGGTGCTTATATGCTTTCATTGCATGGCAGCTGAGCAACAGAGTTAAATTTTGGGGACAGAGTTTGTTATTTGATTCGTAGTACTGTTACCCATAAATATTTTAGGGCAATATCTTGTCAGATACTAAAAAAAATTTATGAACCACTGAATAGTCCATTGCCTGAATACTCCACAATAAGCTGAATATAGAGGTCAGGTGAGTTGTCATTATAATTGGTTACACAGATGTAACACTTTTCTCCTTATACACAGTCTTCTAGCACTGCTCCTGATGCAGCTATGCCTAAGACATGTTTTCTCTAGGCAAGCAAACACTTTTTTAATTTGGTTTTGAAATAAATCTGTCCCAGAGCAGGATTAGTAGATATAAAATCCTTTAATTATCTGCATTACTGAAAACAGCACTCCTAAAAATACGTATCTTAGAAAAGGATAATAGAGGGGAAATATGGTAAGCCATGGAGTGACTTCCTCTTAAAGAATTGCCAAGTGATTCAGCTCTGGTTGGACTAGAAGAGACAAATGAAGAATGAAATTACAGAGGTCTGTATAATTATGAGTGCAAGGAGAGGATGAGTAGAAATCAACTGTTTGCTGTCTGTCCCAGAACAAGATATAGGGCAGCAACAGATTAGCAGGATCCCAGGTTCAAAATAAACCAGGATTGGTGATTTTTCCATGCAGTAAGTAGTGGAACAGAGCAAATTCTTGAAAGCTGCTAAGGTCTAAAAGAAGCTGATGATGTCAGCTAAAAGTACACGTGGGTTCAAACAGAGACTAGGTAAGTTTATGGAAGAAAAATCCAGTAAAGACTGCAAAATACACTGAGATCATATTGAGTCCATTAAGTTCCTGAGCAGTAAATACTTAGAGGCTGGAGAATATAAGGGGGGAAGAATTACATGTTCTTCAAAGCAAGATCATGGTGTAAATTGGTTGGTCATCCAACTGTGTGCCTTTTTTTCTTATATTCTTATAGTCTAGTGGTCAGAGAACTCACCTGAAAATCATCAATTCAGGTTCAAATCTCTGTTTGGCCATAGCTTTCCTTTTGGTGGCCATGGAAAAAAGAGGCATGTTTGAAGCCTCTGTAAATAAGAAGTGATCCACCTGAGACCTTCGCATTTGGGAAGTGCACTAAGGCCTTGAAGTCCAGTCTGTCTCTGTGTTGGACCTACTTTATAGGAAAAAAGCCCTTATCTCTATTTTAAATGAATAGCCTAAAGCACCTCATTCCAGAAGAGAGTTCAAGATTATGAATCCTAAATGAAGACAAGCACCTGAGCCCTACAGAGAAGTAGTTCTTTAAAAATCCATTTACCTCAGTCAACAGTGTAATGTGGAAACCAGTATGCCCCAGCTGTGTAAGGGAGACAACGGTAGCGACCCCATGAGGTACCGGGGACACTCCCAGACCCAAACACACTACTAGTACTTGCAGCAATTAAATCCCAGGTGAGCACAGTTTCTCAATTCATAATAGCTCTCTTATTTCCTTGCCAAACCAACTGCAATGCTTTACCACATAAGGCAAGTTCAAATACATCAACGATCTGAAGAATACTTTAAAAGGTTGAGAAATCAGAGATACCCAAGTATCCTAAATAACACACGTTTTAAAAACTAGATGCCCAAGTCTTTCATTTTGCCTGCAGTTATGGCCAGGGAAGATTTCCTTGAAGTGTTCTTAATCTAAAACTTCAAACGTTTGTTTGTTTGTTTTTAACCTGTGGAACATTCAAATATTTAAAATCCAGATTTTATAGTTTCTATGTAAAGACATCTTTGTATGATAAACAAGAGATAAAAAAAAATATAGAAGATGCAAGACTACAGTTTCTCTTCCAATGTCCAGTCATTAGCCTGTAGCAGTAGACCAGGCACCAAGCACAATGCCATGAGATATCAGTTTAGTCATCTGTCCAATTAACTCAGCTTTACACAACGTCAAATCAAACCAGAAAGCCCCACACATGTGAGTGAAGTTCCCCCTGAAGAAATTCCATTTGCAGGAAGTTGCAGGATACAGCATCAAGAAGGAATGGCTAGGACAATCCCTGTGTGACATACCTGCACCTGGACCTGGACTGCTCACTGCCTTCCCTCCATGTGTCTCTAATACGCCCACCTATTATTGCTTGAGCGGCTCCTACTTAGAAATGGATTTATCAGAGTGCCCCCAGTCCTACTTGGAGGAAGAACAGCTGCATATCATAGGTGCAAAACACGGTACTCCTGGAAGAGGGATTATAGGGGCTAGCACTGGAGGGGAAATGGGAGATGGAAAGAGAGCCTTGCTCTGAGGCTCAGCCTAGGAAGGTCCCAGACAGGTTAGGAGCTCAGGAAAACAACAGGACATCCCATTTCTTTCTGCATTGGCTTGGGTGTAAATGAACAATTTCAGCTAAGCGGTCAGTGGCTGTGCTGTGTCAGACCACAGCACCTTGTCTGACTCACCTACAAGAAGTTTCAGTTCCTACTTTCACCCTGGCATCCAGTGGGGGCCCTTTTTGATTCAGCAATCATCTTACTTTTCTAAAAAAGAATACCACTGAGGTGTCCAGATTTGGTGTCACCATACAGAATCTCTCTTTTACCTGGTCCTTTCATATTCTGAAGTTAAAAGCTTGAAATGACGTTTGACATCAAAAACCATGCTTGACATTTGTCTTTCCCTGACTCCAGGTAGTAACTTGGTGGAGTAGCTCACTGACTAGAATCTGTCATGAGCACTTGGGAGTAGCTGCAGGTTAGTGATACACTCAGATGAAGTGATTGACTAGTCAGAAAAACACAAAGCGGTACAAAGCTGTAGGTGTTTCCCTAATTGCATTTATAAGGTTAGGCAAATCTTGGTGAATCTCCTGGAGACCCATGAGGAAAACAAAGTTGGACAAATTCACTTCATTGCAGCAGACGAATCATAACTTTTCCTGGAGAGCCTTCCTTTCTAATCACCATGAAGTTTTCAGTGGCATATTTTGACCTGCACAGAGGCATGCGTAATTTGATAAATACTGAATTTTTTTTCTTGATCTGGCATGAAGCCACTAAAACAATCTCATCAGAAGGTATTTTATCTACATGGACAGGTCTTGACTCTTTCAAACCCAATGCAAAACCTCTTGTTGATTCCAAAGGGAGCAGAATCACATCCTAACAGTATTTAAAAAGCAGATAATCTGGCTGGAGTAGATGTTATTATGTCATCTTTGGTACTATATGGTGTTCATTACTACAGCACCCTAACACTTTATAGTTTGCAGTGCAATTACACTAACAGGATGCATGTGAATTAAGTCATAGTTATTGTCTTGAGTTCAGAGATGGCATGCCGAAGTGCACAGAAATAGATCTGGGTTGGTAAAAGGGCCGTTACTGAGCCTGCTGGGCCAGGCCACATATGCAGAGTGACAGCAGGAGAGGTCTGTGAATCCCACGGCCTCTCTCCGTGGACACAAAGAGTTAAGTGGTCTTAGGCTCCACATGGGAAAGCAGCGAGGACAACCCAATGTCCTTAGCCTGCAGAAACCACTGCATCTAAGAAAATTGGCTGACTACTTGCATTAGCAGTGCTTTACCGAAAGATGTCAGGCAAAGTACCAATGGCTTGTTACGTGCTTGAGAAATGCTGTCAGTAGTTTCTTTAAATCAAACCATTGTACAGAAGCTTATAACAAGCAGGTAGGTACCTCTGTAAGTGACTTTCATTGTCTACAGTCTTTGCAGCAGCTGAAAAGGATTTTGAAGTACAAATCATACCTTAAAAATAGACATAGGTTCACAGAAGACACTTGTGAACTAGCATTCAGTTAATTGGTCTGCTGCTGAAAAGAGTGACTTACTCCAATTAAATCATTATTTCAGTTACATTATTGATGACCTGACCTGCAAAAGTTAAAAATAAATATAACCAAAATGAATGCCAGCAAAAGCTATCATCTCCCAAACCATAATTTAAAAGGCTCATCAAAAGTAATATAAAATCTTTGCCAACTTCCCAGTTATGGCCTTTTATTTATTTCCTGGTTACTGAATATGGTCTTCAGATAACCTAGGCTTGTTTCACTATTAGAAATTTTTGAGCTTCAGGAGAACACGTTTAATACACATTTTACATGTAGCCTCCTTTTTTTCTGTTTTCATTCCCATCTGTTTTGATGGCTTGTGCCTTCTCATACATTGGATAAATATTGCTGTAAGGAAAAGCACAGGTGTAATGAAGGCATCATACATGGGTATTGTGAGACCCCCAAAAGGTTTATACTGTCTCCAACACACATGGGGCAAAAAATGCAAAGCAAAACTTGGTCATTCTTATTTTGAAATAGGATTGTATTTCAAAACTGTTGCTGAAGGAAATACAGCTCTAGCTGTCTATTCACTGAGTACAAGATAATAAAAAAAATATGGGAAAATAAAAGATTTTGTGTAATAAAACTTTCTGAGGACCAGATTATGATTGTATTTCTCCAGAACATATTCTTTTATGACCACAGTGTTTGGCTGTGGTTTGATGTGATTTTATTATGTTTGTAGTAGGATTACTCCCAGAGCATGGTGCTGTTGTGTGTGATGAATGATTGAGCTGAACATTAAACTAATATAAAATATCACTACTTAAAAGAATAAATATTAGTTAAAAGGTCTGGGAGTGGCCATATGCAATATATATAACAAAAAATAACTGAGTTCAGCTAGTAGCTTTGGTTTTGGAGATCATCATCACTCAGGCTATTACAGTCAGGGTCAATCCACTGTAAATACACTTATGTACTTTTCAGTTATCTATGCACATTTCTTTGTACCTCTGGTTTCTGAACCCAGACTGCAGTATCCTTATCTTGTTGAGTTTCTACATAAATTTCCCAAAACTATCAATGCACTCACATCTGTGATAATTCCACAGCAACCAACAGAATATGTAACTCAGAAGTCTCTCTTCATCTTGGCCAGCAATACCACTGGTTTTACACTCTGTGCCTCTGTCAGTAGCTAATAGATCATGTTCAGGGAAGGCAGAACAAATACATGAATGTGTACCTACAAGGTATGACTCTAGGTTCTTCTTATGATGCATTAGTTGCATTCAGTAGCATTGTACAGCCCTCATGGGAATACAGTATGCAAGACTTACTTCACTATGGACAGTTGTACTCATATTCCAGATACCAGATACGCAACCAAGCACAATGATTCAGCTGGCTACGTTTGTATTAAGAATTATTTCACTTGCGTACATCTCTCAAAGAAAAAAAAAAAAAAAGAAAAAGATAAAGAAAAAGATAAAAAATAAAAAGAAAAAGGAAATGTTCAGTTAGCTTGTTACTTTCACAGAATGACAGAATGTTATAAATATTCCAGTTCTTGGGTAGCTTTAGGTGGGTAAATGTTTCTTTTTGGCCATAATCTGAGCATTCTCAAGTAAAATCCAGGAGGTTTCTGAAATTGTTCCATAGGACTGGACAACCCTAAAATCGTGATGTTGCATCTCTTCATCGCCTTGGAACAGTTGTTACAGAATATGAATGTGTGATGAGGCATTCAATTATTAGCTGATATTTCAAAATTATAATTGTTTTCAATAAAATAGCAGCTCAGATAACTAATAGCATGTGGGAAAATTCAACTGCTTTCCATATATAAACTATGGAATTATATGCTGTGCTTGCAGTAACATTAGTCAGTTGTGTTGAAGAAGTTGGTAGAACAAGAGTTAGACTAGTGACTAAATGATAGCCAGATCATAGAACAGTTAGGGTTGGAAAGGATCTTAAGATCATCAAGTTCCAACCCCTTGCCATGATGAGTAGAATGAGATTCTTTGAAACTGCTAGTTTATTTCTTACCTGATCATTCTGTTGAAGTCTGATGACAGCAATACAGTTACTTCTTTGCACAGGATTTGCTGTGCTTGTGCTTTCAAAACTCATGATCTTCAACAGAGCCTGTATTTCACAGGAATGTGAGACTTGCTATAGGGAGTGGTGTCACACTTCTCCCGCTTCTTTCTTGCACAGGCAGGTTGCTGTTGCTCATTACCATGAGGCAGTCAGACCTTAGTGTTTCACCAGCTGAATATCTGTGCATTAATTAACAAGGCATAAATGCTACCCGATACTCATTCATTGCTAAAATCTGGTTTCCTTCTGGGCAAGAAAGAGTGTTTATGGTGTTGCCAGTTCCAGGTCAGTTGTGCTTGTGGAAATTCAACTAGCACTAGTAGAAGATGATACTTACCTCATCAGAAACCTTGACTATGATTGACAGGGTGCCGATTAATATTTGAGTATGAATTGCACCAACAGGCAGAGAATAAGAGACTTGTGAACACAAAAGTGTAGAAATCCTGCCGTTTGGTACCTGTTATTTCTCTGTTCATTTTTCAGTGTCTACAGGAATGGAAAAACCAGAATTGTAACCTTAAAAATCACACAAAGATAACTATATAAATGTGTTGCTTTTTATACTATTTTGGCAGATAATGGTGGTCCCTGGCCTGCCATAGGAGCTGCAATCAGAGAAAATAATTGCAAGAAGAAATTTCATATGTGCTAAAGACATTTTCACTGCGTAAAATTAGGGGACACCAAGCCTTTAGTAGAGATGTTTTAGAAACCAGAAAATTGAAATGGTTGAAAGCCATCAGTATGAATTAGTACAAAATTTACCTTAAAGTCAAAAATAATTTTAAAATGAGACAGACCAATAGTGCAGATCAAGTATACTAAAGTTTAAATTAGGATCACACATTAAATTATTACCTATTAATACTTTAATCTTTTTCTTTATATGTTAGAATAGGTAGCTAAAAAATAACTTTAAAAGCCATCATGTCAATCTCTAACCTATTAAAACAGACTACAGAAAGCACAATCACACTAATGGAGAAATCTTACCCTGTGTACCTTATCTAGGCTGTGTATGGTTGGATCAGAACTTCCTCCCCGCAGTTTTTATGCATACTTTACTTGATATTACCCACATTCAATATAATAGCTTATACTTTTTATTTTATATATATATATGTATTTACGAGCTCATATATATATAAAGATGAGCTAAAGATTAATCAGAGAACAAAGAAATTATCTCCTTAGCTCCACATAGCACTAGCTATGTTTTACCCTGGGGCAAACACCATTAAAAAAAAAAAAATGGGATGTTACCTACCTTCTATGGCACATTGACCACTTTCATTATATTATTTAGTTCTGCAAGTAGCTGTGGTGATCCTGCCTGTGGCACAACTTGGGATGTCATGTGGTGTCTGCTCTAAGTGTTACTCATTCATAACAACCTAATTAGAAGTTTTGGCAGCAAAGAGGCAGCAAATCATAGTAATGTTTCTGTAATAACACAGTCCCTGGGATAGAATCATAGAATCAAATAGCAGCACAGATAACTAATAACATGAGAAAAATTCAACTGCTTTCCATATATAATCTATGGAATTATATCCTGTGCTTGCAATAACATTAATCTGTTGTGTTGGAGAGGTTGGTAGAACAAGAGTTAGACTGATGCCTAAATGATAGTAAGATCATAGAATCATAGAAGACTAGGGTTAGAAAGGACCTTAAGATCATCTAGTTCCAACCCCCCTGCCATGGGCAGGGACACCTCACACTAAACCATGACACCCAAGGCTCTGTCCAACCTGGCCTTGAACACCGCCAGGGGTGGAGCATTCACAACCTCCCTCGGCAACCCATTCCAGTGCCTCACCGTCCTTACAGTAAAGAACTTCTTCCTTATATCCAATCAAAACTTCCCCTGTTTAAGGTTTAACCCATTACCCCTTGTCCTGTCACTACAGTCCCTCATGGACAGTCCCTCCCCAGCATCCTTATAGGCCCCCTTCAGCTACTGGAAGGCTGCTATGAGGTCTCCACGCAGCCTTCTCTTCTCCAGGCTGAACAGCCCCAGCTTTCTCAGCCTATCTTCATACGGGAGGTGCTCCAGTCCCTGATCATCCTTGTGGCCCTCCTCTGGACTTGTTCCAACAGTTCCATGTCCTTTTTATGTTGAGGACACCAGAACTGCACACAATACTGCAAGTGAGGTCCCACGAGAGCAGAGTATAGGAGCAGGATCACCTCCTTCGACCTGCTGGTCACGTTCCTTTTGATGTAGCCCAGGATACGGTTGGCTTTCTGGGCTGCGAGCGCACTCTGGAGCCAGCTCATGTTCTGTTTCTTGCTGACCAAGGCCTCTGCAGGACTGCTGAGAATCTCTTCTCTGCCCAACCTGTAGCTGTGCCTGGGATTGCTCCGACCCAGGTGTAGGACCTTGCACTTGGCATGGTTAAATTCATGATCTTGGCATCAGCCCACCTCTCAAGCACGCCAAGGTCCCTCTGGATGGCATCCCTTGCCTCCAGTGTATCAACCGAACCACACAGCTTGGTGTCATCAGCACACCCAAATTTCCCTTTACATTACACAGCAGAGACCCTTGGTTTAACCCACAATTTTCTGAGCAAGCAATATTTATTTGCTTAACCATTTTTAGCAGGGTTTTGAAGCAGCTAAGGTAGTGTAGACTGGCTTTGAATTTTAAGACCTGTTTCTTCATGTCTGTTTTGGTGTCCTATTACCTGAACTTCACTGCTTTGTAGAAATTAACATGTTTAATTCTTCTCTTTTTTTTAAGGGTAGAGAACATGGCCATGCGACTGGAAGAAGTAAATGAGCGAGAGCACTGCATGAAGGCGTCTCTGCAGACTGTTGACATCAGGCTTGCTCAGCTGGAAGATATGATGGGACGAATGGTGATTGCCCTAGAAAAACTGACTGGCATAGAAAGAGGTGAGACAACCAAGATACGATCCAGGACCTCATCCGACTGTACTGATGCAGCCTACATTGTGAGGCAGAGTAGCTTCAATAGTCAGGAAGGAAATACTTACAAGCTTCAAGAAAGCATAGATCCCACTGGAGAGGAATCCATGTCCCCAACATCTCCTACGATCACACCCCGCATGCGAAGCCACTCTTTCTATGCAACAAACATGAAGGACAAGTGTGGGCTGGAAAAGTTTGAAAGCATTTTTAAGGAAAGGTCTCCAAGCCTGCATCGAGCTATCAGTTCCCACTCGATAGCAAAAGAAGGAAAGACTCCCTTAGCCCCTACCAGCACTTTGTCAATTGCCCCAGACTCCAGAAGGCCTTCTTCTTGTATTGACATCTATGTTTCTGCCATGGATGAGATTCATTCTGACACAGAGCCTCTCGACAGCTCCATAAATATTCTTGGTACTGGAGATGCAGCTTTGCAGGCTCACATAGCCTCCTCCATTTTGGCTAACAGTGCGTACATTAGCAGTACACCTGGCGAAAAAATCTCTGGCAGGAGTCTTGATTGTGAGGAAACCTCTGGAATAGAAACAAGAGCATTTTCTTCAGACTATTCACAAATCACAGATTGTCAAATCCCCTGGGATTCAGACCCTCCATTGTATCATGCTTTAGAGCGATCTAAAAGCAGTCGTTATCTGGCTACAACTCCATTTATTCTAGAAGAAACACCAATTGTGAAATCTCACAGTTTTATGTTCTCTCCATCTCGGAGCTACTTCAGCAGCCTTGGTGTCCCAGTCAAGACCGCAGAGTACACAAGTATTACAGACTGTATTGACACAAGGTGTGTGAGTGCTCCCCAGGCCATCGCAGAGAGGGCCAGTTTCCCTGGAAGTCTTGGAGGTAAAGTGGAGGACTTGGGATGTTGCCACCCAGAGAGAGAAGCTGAACTAAGCCACCCAAGTTCTGATCATGAGGATATTGAGGCCAAAGACAAAAAGGGGATCCCCTTATCTCCTCAAGATGGCAATTCTTCAAGAGCTCTGCCCAACAGCATCCCAATTCCTAAAATAGAGCGGGCCAACAGCTACTCTGCAGAGGAGTCCAACATGTTATATGCACAGCACACACGAAAGAGCTACTCTATCAGCGACAAACTTGACAGACAGCGAAATGCAACAGGCCTGCGAAACCCTTTCCAGAGGAGTAAGTCCTCAAGGCCAGAGAGCAGGGGGGACAACCTGTCCATGAGGAGACTGTCAAGAATGGGAGCTTTCCGCAGCTTTGAAAGCAAGCACAGCTAGGCCTAGACAAAGCTCACCAGCAGTCCAAGGGTCGCCTGCTCTCCAGTCCATCTTTCTTAGCAGAACTTAAAAAATCTCTCTTGTCACTCTTTGCCAGCTCCAGTTGGCATTAGGCACTGGTCAAGAGAGTACGTTGTTGGTCTCAGCATTGCCCACTGAGTTACTGCATCTTGCCCCAGTTGACATTTGCACTTAAGGAAGAAGGGAGGGATTAAAGCTGTACAGAGTTTTCAGTAAACAGCAGTTATAACTAGCCCCTTTATGAAGTCGCAAGAAATAAATTAATAGGTTCAGAAATCTGCCTTTTATTAGAAAGCATCCTAAGGTCTTTGATCATCATTAAAGTTTGCAGGATACAGGAATTAACTGGCAAAATACATGTACAAGTTAGATGTTCTAAACTTCAATCACAACTTCTTTTTCATCTGTTTCACTGTTGTGATGGCTGATGAAAAGCATTTATTTCTGCAGTAAATGGCAGCAAACAAACCTAAAGTCTCCCAAATCCCTTGCATTCCACACTTCTGGAGATGAAGAAAAATGAACAAGATAACAACCATAACGTTCACTTGTCTCTTTTTGTATCAACTTCTAGTGCCACAAAAAGTTTGTATTTTCAAGAGCAGAAAGGGAAATGAAATGTCTTTTGTACTGCAACTTAAATGGAGGAAAGATTTATGTTAAAATATCAGGTGATAACCTGTATAAAACAGGCATTCTAGATTCTAGTGCAGCTGAGGAAGCTCAGGATGAATGTAATTAAGTGGAATAGTATATATTTATTTTTTTAACCACATTTGTCACCAGTATGTTGACATATTTGACATCAGTATGTTGACATCACAAACGATGTGACAGAACAGTAAGAACAGGGTGATCAGAGCACAGCACTGTAATATTGTCAGGTTCTCACTGCTCCATTTCATTAGGTATACGAACTGGGGAGATTTGTCCACCAGGCTGCTACCAGACTCTTCTTGCTGTTCTGTTTGAGCTGCCAATTTTTCTCATCATTCACTTACATTATTCCTAAAAATATACACCTTTTTTCTTTTTTTTTTTCATGATAACATGGCCATAATTGAACATTTCAAAGTATACAAGATGTATCAGTCTCAGTCCAGATTAATGCAATTAGACTGAAGTTGCTTAAGGGAGAATGTTCTTGGCAGAGAACTGGATAGCACTAAAAAGTGTATATGCTTTTAAGGTAAGTTAAAGGACCAAAGTGAAACTGTACGTGTCTGTAAACAGCAAAAGCCATCCGTTGAGAGTAGGATTCCACCATTCAGCAGCATACTACACAGTGTGCATTTCAGTAGGCTAAAGTCTTTCTAGGTATGGCTTTTGATTGAAGACAGTCGTAATTCCATTGACCCCATACATGTTCCAAGGGTCCGTAATGTCAACCAGAATTTCAAATTTCTCATGAGAAGATACCACAGTGGTCACAGGTGGAAGGGTATGCAGAAGACAGGGAAAGGGTGGAAAAGTATGAACTGCAACTGGAATCAAAATTTCACATCCTTTGTAACATCACAACTTATAAGCTTGTAAAGAGCTGAAGCTAATGCTATTAAAAATTAAAGCATCTCTACACAGACCAACATGTGTGTAGAACTAACTTCTATTTGTTATTAAAAATGAACATGTGATTGGAGTACATACTTCGCATTATTTAAATGGAAATTATCTTCTAAATCTCTAACACAGCTTTGAAAATGCAGACTGATATTTTCTAACTGGGAGCTCACCCTTGGAGACTTCGAGCACCATATGAGAGCTAAGTCTGAAAGGCAACAAACCCAAACATGAAAATAATTATCAGCCTCAAGAAAAGAGGCAAAAAAGCTGAAAATATTTAATTACTGAGTCACTACATTGGAAAGTTAAGGAAATAAAGAAATGCAGCATGGGGACTTTAAGCACAATGTGTTTCATACTTCCTGTACCACCATGTTCCTTGCTTTCTTCTATTTGATCAGGCTTTCAATGAGCTAAACTCCACCAAGACACCGTGTTTATGCAATTGCCTTGCCATCCATGTGCAGCATTGCAGTCACATGGCAACACCGAGAAAGGTCAGAAACCTTTCTGTGCATTATGAAGCATGCTTGTCACAGGCTGATTGTTGAATAGCGAAATGCCTTAGGGCAAAGGAACTTGTATTTAACAATCTGCTTCAAATGTGCCAACTTTTGATAGCAGCCTTCTTCTAAGGCTTCTCCAAATATGTCTATCCTTGGTGAGTAGAGGGGGATATTCTCACTTCATTTTCTTTGTTACTTTTACGAATGTCTGCTGAAACTGTTCATGGACTCTTCCACCGTCACCATAATACTGGCTGACTCTAGAGAAACTTTAGATTCACTAGAAATTCCTCAGCAATGCATAGTGAATTAGTTCAAGGTTTAGGGCTGTCCTCTGTGATAGATTTCATTGCTTAGTTTGTCAGGGTAAAGGAATTTGCCAAACCCAGAAGCTGTTCAGGATACAGCACTTTATTGATCTGGAGCACACATTCCAGGTAAAATGAAACAGGACACTTTATTTACCTCTTAAAATTTGCCATTATCTATAAAATGTAAAATCAGATGTTAAAAGTGTGATTGCAAGATGTCGGCACACTATACTGCTCCTGAATGTTTCCCATTTGTTCTACAATGTGGTGTCTATAGAATATATTATGATGGATGTTAGATTATTTTATCTTCACCTGGTTTTTACAAATTGCATTAAACTGGTCCTTTTTGAATCTGTTGGTTAAACACCCTTTCCTTGCAACGGGACCAGATTTCCCACTCCCAACATTACGACCATTTAGTGAAAGTAGAAGTCTTACCATCCATCATCATGTAGCTATAGCATGTACCATATGACATATTCTGTATCAAAGGATAACTTATGAAATATATATATAAACACACATATATACATAACTCCCATATATAAACCAGTATAGTTGTGACATGTGGTACTATTAGTGAACGTTACAGGACAGTTTTTATATCACATTATGAGGTCTTGTTTATAGATCTGTAACATTCAATTAAAATAGCACATGTTGCATCACGCATTAAGTTCCACTATCCAATTATTAGCTTACATATGGAATATGCATTTCTGGTCACAGTGCGTGTTTGGTTTGTTTCACACATTTCTCTGTATAGCTCCACTTAAATGTCTGTGTGAGCTGATGTATAAACCTCTAATGAGCCAATGTGGGCTCTGACAGGTGAGTTGTGATAGTGTGAAAGATGAACTGGCATGTTATGCAAAAGATTATAAATGAACTTTAATAATATTTTGAATCTCAAATGAACTTAGCTCTTTGTTTACATATGTTGGTCAACTGAGGAAGCGTTGTACAATATTTTATAAATATTTTCCTATAGTAATCTGTTCTGTTGTTTCCAGTTTAAGTGATGCTATTCTGCAGTTGGGGTATACACTTGTCCTAGGTATTGGATTATAGCACATTATTCTTTCACAATAACAGTGTGATATGACTGAAGTAGTTTCTCTTCCTTACAGTCCAGTCTTCTTTTGTGTCAATGAAAATGCATGCATTGTTCCATGAGTTTCTTTGGACTACTATGAGATTTAACATTTTGCTATTGCCTGCCTGTAAAGATGAATCCAGTTAGGAGTGAATTCAAGCTTTTGGATGTTTACATTATTTCCATTATGTTTGATCTTTAGCAAAGTAAGTGATTTTTTTTTATTCTTTTTAAATTACAATTGTATTTTATGAAATTGAAATACTCAACACAAAATGCGAACCTACAGCAGTGCTCAGACATTTGGCTCTCTTTTTTTGGAAGAGATAAGGTGCTACATTATTGTTCTTAGCACAAGTGCCAGTTAACAAATGGCAGTGAGGGGATAATTTGAAAATATAATTAAAAACCAAAACGTCCATTCATCCACATAAGGAAATCCCTCTGGGTTCCAGATGTAGATTGCTTCTTTTTTTTTCGTTTTCCATTTATAAATTTTTGGTAAAAAAAACAAACAAACAAACCTGATTTGTACCTTTTGTGGAATGGATAGCCTTTTGTCAGGGGATAAATATCTTAGGTGTATTTTTTGTATGAGAAGAAAATGATTCATTTCTTAGGAACTGCCAGTGCATGGAAAATGCAAATACACAAATACCTGCTCAAAAGAAGTGCTGGTAGCAGCACACAGCCTTAGTCCAATGACTGCAGTTGGAGCAACCAAGCATCTGTCCTGAGAGGAAAAGTTGTCAAAAGTATTAGCTTAGACGAGACAGTGAAACAAAATTTGCTGTAAATGCATGGTACAAATTTTCAAAACAAGCATAAATGTTTTGTTATGTTGCTCAGGTTAGATACTTAAGAGGATCTGATGATCACCAGAAGGGAGGATGTGAGCTGGTCATTCCTGGATTTCCCTAGGAATACTCAAGTAGTTGTGATGTCTCTCACCTGCTTAAAAAATTACAGTATATTTGCATTTTTGCACAAATATGCACAACTGTTTCAACAAAGGCCACATTTTCAGTTCTGTTAAAAGATACCAAGTATAGATTTCCTTCTTCAAAAGAAGTGGGAAGCTTCCTAGCATGAATTTTCTCTCATCCACCTCAAATAACAGCACGATTCAAACTGGATAGAAATAAAAGTGTTGGGGGTGTCTGCTTACGTAACAAAACCATTCATTCCTCTAGATGTTATTCACTGGCCTTGCCACACATTGTCATAAAAGCATGAAACCATAATGTTGAATGTGAAGGGATGGAGTTTCTGCACCCCTGTAAGTTATCCTGCTTTATAGGCAATCACAGGTTGAACACTAAAGATCACACAGGCTTCTCTTCTGAGATCAGCTACAGTTATGGTCTTAGTGATGCTGGTGCAAATCTGCAGAAAATCCACTGCAGATTTCAATGGAGTACTCTAAATTTTGTCAGAGGATGGGTTTATTCTGTGTTTCTAACTGTATATTACTTTGAGTCATGACACAGATTATCCTAAGTCATCATCAAGTGGGATGTCTAATAACTGAGCCATTGAGCCCGACTGGTTGTGAAACAGTCTCTGATCTTTTAATGTTTGCTGTATGCTTTCAGATCTCTTGTAGAGCCACACAGTACTTATTTTAAAAAGCTATTAGGAAAATATGTTTGATTATGAAATTGCTGCTGTTTCTGCTGCAGGGAAGTGATAACTCTTGTTTATTTTAGTATTTGGTAGGAAGGAAAAGGGACAGAAGTGGGAATTGGCTGTGAAATGAAATTTAAGCCTGCAGAAGAGTAAATTGTGTTAAAGTTGTATCTTTTTTCCACCACTGCAGTTGTTGTACATGAGGAGAGTCTATATGCTGCTGCTGCTGTCTGGAACAGTGTTTGCAATATACTATACTAATATCTATTTAATCATTTATTATTTGGGCTATCATTTGTAAGTGTATAACAATCATTTATAAAGGGAGAAAAATTATTAAAATGTCATTTTAAACAAATTCCTACTAATATGAAGCTTTTCAAGTATGATTTGTCTAAATGTATATCACTAGGGAAAATGGTCATTTCCAAAGGTCTACTGGATTCACAATGCACTTTTAGACTGTGTTTAGATACGTAATTAAAAGCAGAAGTTGGCAATTACTGCAGCAGAACTTCCTGAAATTTCTGTAACAATTGTTTTGCAATAAAAAAAAAGAGATGTAGTTCAAAACATCTGCTTTTACCGGCGCATTTATTTATGGTCACTTGCTTTCAAAGCAACAAAGAAACAATGCAATGGCAGCTGCTTTTCTCTAAGATGTCCAGCTGCTCTAGTT